AATTGCGTGTGTGACCTACCCTAAACCCATGCCTACTGACATCTCGCTCGTGGAGCACTACCACGCGTCAACTCGAGATTCGACCAAACTAATGATATACAAATCTCGCACCTCAAACTTTTCTATGTAAAGTTAGGCAAGTTAATATTGATGATACATCATTATCATGATATAATTGTTTGCGTGAACAATCTGACCGTGATACTCGCGTCCATGTGAAGGCTCTGTCGTGTGTCAACTCGAGATTTGAGTTCACTGCATCGCGCGTTAATACGTGTCATGTGTCAACCACACGTCGATGCATTGAGCATTATGGTGTCAATCTTTCGGATAGTGTTGAATTTGAAGGCGCCTATTCATTAATTCTTCCTACTCCAAAACATCAAATTCAACGAACAAAACTATCAATATACAAATGTCCACAGTTGAGGCTCTTTATAGGCTAATCTCTTGTAAAATTATTTTCCAAGAGGGTGGAAGCTGGGGATGGAAGAGAGTGAACGCATTGAACTCTTGAAACTGTCAACCCAATAGAAATGTGTAGATTTTCCATATTGTCACGCCACATTTGCGATAACATACTATGCGCGCTTTGTTTTTGAGCAAAGCATATCATCCCTTTTGCATTTGGTTGCTCTTCCAAGTCTGCAATGCAAGGATTGGATCTCTTCTAAAAGCAATTTTCCTAAAGGATGGGGACTGGGATGGGAGATGAACGTGTGAGAGAGTGAATGCGCGTAACCTCTCTAAATTTTCAAGCACATAGAAGAGTGAGAGATCTGCCCATTATCTTGGCTCACGTAGTTATTGAGCAAGACAAAAACAAGCAAGTTTATTGGGACCAAAAAATATCAAATTTATGTTTTCCACATTGATTTATTCCCCCAACTTTGGCATGCAAGGACTGCTTCTTGTGTAAAGAATACTCTCCAAAAAGGTGGAGACTCGGGGTGGGAGAGAGTAAACGCGTCAAATCTCTCTAATTTATTAACCAAATAGAAGAGTGAAAGATTCCTAATATAAGTGAAAATGTATCATTTAAATTCAATAAGAGCTTCATCGGACAAAAACAAAACCCAGACAGAACATCATATATATATATATATATATATTTTAAATGTATTAAAATTTTTAAACGCAATGCATAAACTTGATATTACAGTTTACAAAATAGACTACAATGTGTAACATTTATTTCATACATATTTTATAATCTTAAAAAACACTTTATCAATCTCTGGATGGATATGAAGATGTATAAAACTATATAAACCTTTTCAAATCATACGCAAACAAAAGATGCCAATTTATTCATTGGGATCTTTTGTTTGCGTATGATTTTGAACTTGTTAATGAAGTATTCTCAATCAAGATAAAAAAAAATTGCTAAAACTTTTTGCGCTGATTCTTATCAATTTCATTAATAATTATTTTTAAAAATATTCTGTTTAGGCCAAAATTATTACTTAACTTTAATATACTGATTCATTCTATTTTCTTCAATGATGAAGTGAAATATTATGTAATCAATCACTGATGAATTTCATATGTTATGTAGTGTATAAAAGAGTTTAGCTCATATTTTTATGAGCAATGTTGCCTCAATATATGTAACAATTTGAAATTTATTCATTGTTTTCCTTAAAAAGATTGATAAAACATACGGTCACAGATATAGGATAAGATTGGCATATATATCCTTTTTTTTCAGCCAATATATCCTTTGTAAAAATGTCTATTCGAATTAAATATTTTTATATAACAATTTGTGCTTCTCCAATCTAACATGGCTTAAAAATTTGGGAACAGCTGAAATTGGGACTGATGCATCTACTCTTGTCTAACAGAATGATGTACAAACATGCTCTGCTTAAATTTAACAATCTTGAGCAGATCAAGAACCTTTACCAAAGCATCCACCACCATTTCCATGAGTCTGACTTATTTGAAACAATTTTGATATCTCCGAGCATGTGTAGACCTGACTATTCTTTAAAGCCCTGAGATATCTGCTCAAGGTCAAGATGAAAGAAACAATTATCAGAGAGAAAGACATCATTGTCAACTATCTGTGAAAATAATTTAGCATATACCAGAGAATCAAAAGCAGAAATCCATATGCGGAATACATGACTCACCTTCTTGGATTTAGTTCATGAATACACAGTGATTTTCTATCAAATAATTAAAATATAAATTAAATTGTGTCCTCGAAATCAAAAATTTACTCTCATATATAGTGGCAGAATACTACAACTAATTATCGTAAAATAAATTAGAGATAACCCAGACCTTACTCAAATATGAACTCTTTGAAATATTGATTTTACTTTCATTTACTCATTTATTTGCATAGAACATGGTTATAAATGAAAAACATCTCATATCTTTTGTAAAAAAGAAAATTTGAAAATAATACACACTTTGTTTTGAAGTTGGATTTGACAATTCACAACAACTTATCAAAGTATGATTATTTGGAAAAATGACAGTTTTTTCATGTAATGCTTAACATTTAAAAAAATAACTTATATCAGCAAGTCAAATTCCTTGCTTCTAATACGTATGTATGTGACGCAGAACTTGCTCATTACGGTAATCTTCTTGAATCGTAAACCTGATTATATGTATTATAGGACTATAAGTTGAACATATTGAAATATATTCACACATGTCGAAGCCACATGGTCAGGTACTAAAAAAATGCCACAACTTATTGATCTCTAGTGAGGTGAGTGATTATGACATAATGGTAAAGTGATATAGATGGAGTTAAAATAGTTTACAATGAAAGTTACCTAGAGAAGCCAATGAATGATAAGAACTTGTGGAATACCGTGACAGAATTTACCAGATTGAGAGTTGAAAGGTTTATTATCAAGCAACACTAAGATTACGAAGAAACTGTTCAACAAGAGCTTTTCCTACTAGTGTCTGAAACTTTGGTTTCATAGTACTGGCTACAAGATTTGATGGATACGCCACCGCGAATCGAGCGAAATTACCAATTGCGCTGTGGACCATTAAGGTGCTCCAGCCCTGATCTTAAACTCATAATCTCGACCGATAGACTTCAATTCTGAATATGCGTCCTTTGATTTGTCTAGTCCCATGGTAGAAGTACAAAGTTTCAGATTCTTACGGGTGTGAAGTATAACAACAGTTCGTAAACATCGAGGAAATCTTTAAAATGTGGTCGAGGTCAGTTTATATTTTTGGCAAAGAATCTTTTGGAGAATCTCTATCTCTCCAGCATGGTTTTGCGCTTTCTTACCACACGAGACCAAACCCAACATTCTAAGCATGCTTTCGACTATACGAAGCTGTAATTGCATAACAGTAGCTCTGGGAAAGAGGGATTTTCCCCATGGGATTATTGTTGAGGTGAAAAATAAAATAATATGCAACCACAACCGTTACTGAAGACTCCAAGACTGCGGCGGAACACGTGCTACACCGTGACTGCATGACTGCACAGTCCGGTTCATTGATAGAATGCAGCGGCAATATTGAGAACTCTAGCCAATAGCAGGCGGCCCATGCTAAATCGAGGAGGCCAGGTCGGATTTACAGCAGCATAGCTAGGAGAATCGGAGATGCGGATAGAGTACTGAAACAAGTATTTTGCCATCTACAGAGTTCTCTGTTTTTAACTGTCAGTTTGAGCGAAAGGTCTCGGAGCTGCTCGTCAACCACAGCTCCTGGGCTGCGCCGACTGGTTTGCCCCGAAGGCGCTTCCTGACCGCAGTCGCCTACCAAACAATTCCAAATTGTTCTGTGAAGGGGTTCATCTTCAGACCTGATTTCAGACACCAGGGCGGGAAGAGGAATCAAAGAAGAACGCCAACTAATCTACAGGTCCTGGCCTGGTGTTGTGTGCGCATGAAGTTCTCGGTACCAGGTTTATACAGTTCAAACTGCCGAGCACGACGTGAGGAAGTATTGTGTACATTGTGAAGGCGATATCAACTCAAAATTCAGACGTCGTGATGGGTTGCGGATCATCAAATGCGGTTGGGCGTCACAAATACCAAAATGAGCACCCGAGTTCCAGGAAATCTAGGAAGCGAGAAACGCACCTCTAGGATCTAGGAGAACTTGCCACAGCCTCCTCGGCTCCATGTTCCCGAAACTTGTGAGCACATTATGAAATCCTTTCCATATCTTTCAGAATTCTTTAGAGCAGAGACTTTTATGGCGGCCTTTTTCACCTGAATTGAAAGCGAACGCGCAGGGCGCTTGTTGAATCCATGCTTCCCTATGTTCTCCGTATATCAATTTCTGCTGTAAGCTCCCTCTGACGAAGTTTAAATGCACCTGCGGATCCAAGCCTAATCGCATGCGTATCAGTTCCCTGAGATTCTGAGAACATGTGTCCTGTCGCTTGCAATCTGCCGCTCCAGCATTATGATATTCCCGAATCCACAACGAATCACCGAATATTTTTAGTCACTTTCGTCCACCCCCTTCTGTAAAATACATAAATAATGGAATGCGATATTTGCCAGCCAACGATGTAGGCATTGATTCGCATGGACACAAACCGACATGAAGCGCACACGACACTGTGGTAAGAAAGCCCAAAACCATACTGGAGAGATATAGATTCTCCCAACATCCATAACTGTCTTCGCGGAAATAGTCACTGCATTGGAAGCCATGATTGTATATTGCCGGACCAGGAGACGTGAATAGACCTCGGTCCGGAAATAGGTGGGAGGAGGATTGTGAAGCCCCGTAAGACCTTGTTTTATTTCTACTTGTAGCGAGCCTTTATTCCAGAGGGCAGCGAGCTTTCGGCACTGGCACCGCTGATGCCGGATCTCGAGAACCTCATTGGAATCTGATAACGCATTTTCCTGTCGAACGTGTAAATTATGACGGAGCTGTAAAAACAGTAAATTACACGCTGGAGCCCCAGTTCTCCCCCGGGGAAAATCCAGGCGTGAACATTGTCAGACTCGCCATGTCCTTCGTTGACTAGCAAGGTGTCCTCGATTCGACATTTCTCGCTGGCCTCGGGGCCGACACGAGCGTCGGCACTGACACCGAGCTCGAACACAGTCCAGTGCTCGATCTTTCTCGGCAGTATTAGTACTACATATGGGGACTGGTTTCTCTTTCGCCAGTTTCCGCCCAGACATTCCAACCTTAAGAAGATCCTCGAGAAAGAGAAGGACATTTAGATAGATAGGTAGATACATAGATAAGTTTGTAAACTTCCCGCCCTGCGGGAACGATATATTAGCTAGATCTACAAAATATGTTTGGGTTGGATCGATTTGGACCGCACATCCACTAATGCACCTCGATTGTGTTGCAGAATAGCAGAAGTGGGTCTGATCAGGCCGTGCGTTTGAAGGGTACGAGAGTTGGGAGTTGATGAAGGCGCACTCGTCATTCTATGTGGGGGATTTCAGCTGTACTGGTCCTGGGAAGAGATCTGTGAATCGAGTCCTCAGTTGCGGTTTGAATTTCTTCCAGAAAATACAGTTGCCCCTGGAATGCCTTCGATCTAGTCCTAGATACTACGAGCAGGGTGGACTTGGGAAGTATTGTAAGTCGATTTCTGGAGGCTCTTTGATGAAGGCTCCGAGAAGGATCGAATGCGGTGCCGCAGGCTAGGAATTTAGCAGGCGGCTAGCAGTGTAGCACGGTTGTACGTAGCGATCGGGGCGATGGCGGCAGCCGAGGATGAAGGCTTGACGCTGGCTCTGGACAGAACCGTGGACGCACCGTCTTTGGTCATGGTGGATCAGAGGGGCTCGGAGACGATGTATATCATGGGGCTCGCCTTCGCGGACGAGGACGAATCGCCGTCACCTCGAAGATCTTTCGGCAAAGAGTCTCCCAATCTGCAGGAGCTTCCGGCCAGGGCATGGGGCAAGGAGGTGCACACCGGTAGGCTCAGTCACGTGGTGATCGCGGTCGATGCGAGAGCTAACAACAAATGGCGGAGGACTAAATCGCAGAAAGGAGTGAAGGGGCTGGTCAGGCGCCTGGGAAGCTCCAGCAGCAAGGCATGGAAGAAATGCTTCCGCCCGTGCATGGACATAGACTCGGAACGCGCGATAGATCTCGGAAACTTGAACAGCGATGATATGTTGAAAGAATCGGTGCCCGTGCTCTTCAAGGACGACAGCCCCGGCTTGCAGGAGCAAGCGATGAGAGCACTCCTGCACCTGTCGGGCATCTACGGAAATCCTCTCAAGATCGTGTCTTTCCCCAAAGCCGTCGAAGGCGTGGTGAGATTGCTGCTCCGGGACGACGAGCCCAATTTGCAGAGGCTCGCCACGCTGACCTTGGGAAATCTGGCCCTCCGGCAGGTGAACGCAGTGGCTTCCGTAGCCATGGAAGGACTGGCCAGGTTGCTGTTCGAGAAGGAGGGCAGATCGTTGGAGCTAAGCATTCAGCTGCAGGAGGAGGCAGCGTCGGTGCTGGCGAACATCTGCTACGCACCCGAGGGCGGAAGGAAAGTGATGAATCCCTGGACCGACGCTTTGGCAGGTCTGATCAAGTTGTTGTTCATGAACGACCGCAAGGGCGCTCAGGAAGAGGCCACGAGGGCTTTGGTGAACCTGGCTCTGGTGCAGGAGAACGCGCAGAAGCTGCTCGAATTCCCCACTGTCAGTGTCATCGGAGGTCTGGTGGGGTTGCTGACGGATTTCGAGAGGCCCGCCGTTCTGGACAACGCCACCAGAGCATTGGCGAGCCTGTCGTACGCACCGCAGAATGCAAGGAAGATTGCGGAGTCGGAGCACTTCGGTCGCGCTCTGCAGGGCCTGGTTGGCATGCTCATGAGGAGACGACGCAAGGATGCCACATTGCAGGAGCTCGCGGTCATGACGCTGGCTAATCTCTCGATCACTCCGGACATTCAAATTCAGATCGCCGACTTCCCGAATGTGCTGCCCGAGCTGCTGTGGTGCTTGACCCAGAGCAACGATCACTCGGTGGTGGAGCACGCGGCGATGGCCATGGGGAATTTGGCCATCGCGCAGGAGAACCGGCCCAAAATTGCCAATCTCTCGGGCGTGCTGCGGGCGCTGGTGGATGTGATGACGGACGACGAGAACCCCGGAGGTCAGGAGCACGCCGCCTACGCTCTGAGCAACCTCTCGCACGCGCACGAGTGGAACCAGCTGAAGATCGCCGATGTGCCGGGAGTCATGAAGGGCGTGGTCCATCTGCTGACCATGGAGGCGAGTCCGAGCTCGCAGGAGCAAGCGGCCCGACTGCTGGCCAATCTCACGTACCCTCAAGAGAACAGCGCCAAAATCATCACGTACCCGAGCGCTCTGACAGGCCTGGCCGCCCTGTTGGCCAAGCACGAGAACATCAATCTGCAACGCGAGGTGACCAGGGCCTTCGCCAATCTCACCTGCTCTCGAGACAATCGGTGGATCAGCGCGTTCTGCACCGAGGGCTTGGCCCGCGTGCTGGTGACGTACAGCGCCCGAAGACATGCAGCCAGTTCGGTGGAGATCGTGGAGATTCCGGAAGCAGCGATCCCGCAGCTGGAGACGAAGCCCTCTATGCTCGCAGCTTCGGGCGAGGGCGAGGGCGAGACAGGGCTCGCCCTGGGAGACGCGGAGGAGATGATGGAAGTGCGCATGGTGGACATCGCAGCAGTTGAAGGTGTGAAAGCAGCGGAGCAGGGCTTGGCAGCTCTCGCTCTGGAGAGTCAGGAGGCTCCGACGAGCCAGAGATGCGATGGCCAAGTGCTCGTGGTGGAAGACGATCTGCCGAAAAGTCCACGACCGGAAGTGGCTCCCGAGGCTATGACTGTGGAGCAGCCCAGAGTCACGGTGCAGCCCTCTGCGATCGCCAAGTCCGAGAACGAGCATGAGAGCGACGAGCACCACATGGAGGTGAAAATGTTGGACGTGGCTTCGGTCGAGCACGTACAGGCCGCGAACATCAGCGAGAAGCGAGTGCTGAGCGACCTCGAGAAGAGCGAGAGAATTTCGCGAATCGAGAACATCTCGAAGAAGCTGAGCCGACTGGCTATGCATCCGGACCAGGCGAGCATGGAAACGCTTCCGGATTTGACCACGACGGTGTCGGACGAGACCGATACGAGCAAATTTTCTGCTACAGGTAAGGATCAGCAGCAGCAGCAGCAGGCCGAGATAGATCTGGAGATGGAACACTTGGCCGAGGTGGACGAGGGTGGGTCAACGCTCGAGCAATCCCGACCTCTTCTCGCGGAATTTCAATACAGAAGAGACGAGAACGAGCTGAGAACGAGAGAGGTGGAGAATCTGATTCTGGAGCAGGCGTCCATTGCTCTGGGCAACCTCGCAATTCACAAGGAAAATAAGAGGATAATCGGCGAGTGCGAGGATGCTCTGTCAGGGCTGCTGGGACTGTTGCCCCGATACGACAGTCCGTCTGTGCAGGAGAATGCAGCATGGGCTCTGGCGAATCTGTTCCACGAGGAAGACGGCAGTGATGTGGTCGACACCATCGCTGAGCTCAAGGGGCCCCGGGCCATACAGTCGCTGGGAGAATTGCTCCTGGACAACGAGATTCCGCTGGTCCAAGAGCAGGCCACGAGAGCGTTAGCAAATCTCGCCTACTTCCCCGAAAATCAAGCAGAGATCATCGAGTTGCCCAAAGCCTTGAGCGGTGTCGTGGGTTTGATGTCCAACGATGAGAACCCTGGAATTCAAGAGAAGGCAGTGCGGCTATTGACTAACCTCACCTGTGCCAAAGAGTACTGGACGACTATTGCAGAATTCCCCGGTGTGGTTCCGGGTCTGTCGGATCTGCTCGCCAAGGAGCAAAACCCTGATATTCAGAGGACGGCAGCAATGTGTTTGAGTAACCTTGCCCTGGCGCCTGAAAACATACCCACCCTCGTGGAGTCACCGTCCGCCATGGCAAGCGTAGTGGAACTGCTGTCGAACGATGAGAATCCCGGTGCTCAAGAGCAAGCGGCCAAGTTCATCGTGAATGTTGCCGCTTGTCACGATGCGACTCACCAGCTGAGAATTTCCGAGTTCCCACGGATCCTACCAGAACTAGAAAAGTTTTTGTTTCAAGACGAAAGCCCCGGCGTGCAAGAGCAAGCCATTAAAGCTATCGTAAATCTGGCTCGAACTCCAGAGAATAAACAGAAGGTTATGGAAGAGCCCGATGCTCTGTTGGGTATTGCTAGGATGCTGTCCAGGGATGACAACTCTGTCGTGCAACTGAACGGTGCTCTGGCGTTCAAAAATCTGTCTCTGGAGATCTCCAGTCTTCAGAAATTGGTAGACTGTCCCAATGTCCTGGCAGGGTTGGTCAGATTACTTTCGAGGCACGGCGATTATGCGCTGGAGGCAGCAGTTCTGACATTGCTGAACCTGTCGCGGCTGAGACACATTGCAATTGCAATTGCGAAGTACGATTATCCCAAGGTTCTGATAGACCTGGCGATGCTACTGCGCATGAGTAACAATAAGCTCGTGGTCGAGTCGACAGCGATGATCTTGACGAACCTTGCCAACGCTCCAGAAAATCGACAACTCATGGCAGACGTTCCCGAAGTTGCCAAGGGCCTCGAGTGGTTGCTGTCGGACTGCGCTCTGGAAGAACAGCTGCTGATGACGGCCATGTCCGATTCTCAGACGATGGTGATCTCTGATGCAGAAGGAGAGTTAGACGAGGCAGGTGTGAGCGCCCGCGGTTTTGACAATAAGGAGAGCCTCAAAGGTCAACGCACGGGCACTGGATTCTGGGCTGCCACGGCCCTGACATTGATCGACCTGCCTCGAGCCCGAGGGCTGACTCTGCATTCAGGTGAGGCTTACAAAGGACGAGGGAATGCGATGATTTGGATGGGGCTGGTTAAAGAGGCCATCGAAGAGTTTGACGTCTCTACTCAGCTACAACCAGAAGCACCTGGAACATTCAGGTACGATGACAGACCCTCTCCTTTTCAGGAATCTCGAGTGTGCAATTAATTGCGGCTGCACTAGTCTAGAAAGACGGAAGGAAAATGAACTTAGCGCCTTCACCTTTTCGTATTGCTGGCTAGTTCAAGGCATTGCTTCACGTTAGAACCTGAAATATATAGCTAACTTTCTTCAGTTGCCAGCTTATACTAGAGATCAAGCGAGTTATGTTCATGTGCAGCTCATAAATTATCTGATTCAGTTGAATCGAATAATTCATGGTAATTCATGATTTATATAGTTTCCGAGATACAGCCAGAGCTATTGAGTAGTACACTCACCATGATTGAAAAGATCATTTCGGTAGTAGGAGGTACAGAAGTTTAGCTGTCAGTACGAATCTGGCCGAATTAGCAGTCAGTATAGTTCTGGGGACATTGTGATTGAAGTAAGCGGGAACGACTCATGGTTGAAAACGTCCTCACAGTGGTACATTTCTCTGTCTTGGCAGTCTACGAGGAATAGCGAAGTCTTTAATCCAAGACTACGAAGCAGCACTGATCGACGCCGACAGGGGCATCGAGCTAGACCCACAATACGGAGGTTGGTATCAAGAGCGAGGAATTCTGAAAAGAATGATGGGGGACTTGCCGGGAGCTTTGGCAGATCTCAACAAGGCAGTAGAACTGGAGAAAGACGACTACGAGATGCTGAAACATCGAGGATACGTCAGGTTTCTGCTGCACGACGAAGACGGAGCTCGAGAGGATGCGGAATGGGCTCTCCGGGTCCAGGATTTGTCCGCCACCCTAGACGAATCTCAGTACCATGACTACATCATGAGCTTCCTGGGAGCGCTACCCGTCGAATACTTGGACTACAAACTTAGATAGCAACGGCACCCAATTCTAGGATAGGATGGATCGTTTACTCGAGTCTCCTTCAGCGCTCGAGTGTACATATATGCCTAGATTGCCAACTGTCCTCCTGATTGTACATACATACAATTTTTGGACATTGATAGAGCTCTGAGCGTGTTCCGAAGACCGAGCACTGGAAAACTCGGTCGTTCATTTAGCTCGATACACTTGTATTATAGTGCCCCGAGTTAGAACGTAGGCCTTCCTTACAATGGGTCCACTCAATTTCGACCCATTCACGACCCCCAATTTAGTTTAAACAACAATGTAGCTCCCCCGCGAGAGAAAAGAGCTTCCGGTTTGAGAGGACCTTTCCTCTCTCAAATTAGTATTAGACATCTATACATTGATCTGATTTAGCTAGGAACAGAGCATGCTATTCGATAGTACAACAGGAGGATTGTACGGGAGAAGCTACACAAGATGCTATCTACCTGTTACATTTGTAGGTGTGTCAATGGACACTTTGTTACTCGCATAATGTCTGTTGATTAAATCGTCCTTGAGGAAAGACAACCGATGACCAGATTGATCATCACGTCGCCTTTCGTGTGACGAATGGATCTAATCGGTGAGATCCAGTGACAGCCGTCTGAAAGATGTTTGCTTCTGGGAAACGGGATTCAATCTCATGTCTGTCTCTTCTTCTTCTCAAATTCTTTGGGCTCCAGAGGATTTACTCTTCTATAGCCTCGGGTTGGTCATTTACATCTGCTGTGAACGAGCGTTGTAATCAAAACAGAAGGTCGTAGAACTGCGGTGGTGAGGCAGATTATGTTCGTTCACATTACAAGCCACCGACATGTTCAACTATATGAAGGACCCGAATCTGACACCCTGAATGTTAATACCTCGTCAACTGTGCTCAAAGCATCGGTCAACTTTTGTAGAGTTCGATTTGAAGAAATGTGCTGGGCTTGTTTCGCCTCCTTGAAAGCGCAAGCTGTGGTCGTGGAAGGACAAGAGTGACGCGCCAGCTGGCGTTCCGAAACCAATATTTCAACTTTTCCCCGATCGCTAATGGAATCAGAGAAAATCCCTTCACTCACCGTCCGCTTTTCTGTTTTCGTTTGGTGAATTAGAGGAGTCTGGTCTTGTAAGAGCATGGTTACATGAAAGGAGTCCGTTTCTCGGGGTCGGATCTTGGAAAACACTTGAGAATCTCCAATGCATCTGGAACAGAAACTTGTCCAAGTCTTTGGATCTCGTCGTCATTTCGTCTCTGCGAGCTCTCCGATTGGAAATCGTGAGTGGCAGATCCCGCAATAGCGACATCGTTCCGAAGAGGCAAAATTTCTCGAAATCACTGCCCTCCCGATCGCCGTAGGGATGTAGAATAAAAGTCTATGTCGAAGGCCAGTAACCACTCGATCACGGTGCCCTGGCGACTCCGCGTATCACGCACTGGGTCCCGATGTCTTGACTCCGTGCACGCTGGACCTCAATGTTTCCAAAATCAGCAGGTCGACTGTCAATCGGACGGACGAGCCCAAATCTGCCTCACGTTCAGCGATCTCACCGTGGACGTCCAGCGAGCGAGGAGAGCGATCACAAGAGCCCTTCGCCGGGAGTAATCAAATCAATCGTTCTCGATCATGAGGTCGTGCGTTCGTGCGTGCACGCATGCATGCATGTCGGCGTGGGCTCGCAGGACGACTTACTGGCGACTGAAATGGACGGCCTCTCAGAAAATCATGTCAGTTTCTGGGATGAAGGTGAAGTTGGACCTGGGCCTATGAAATTGTTCCCTCCACTCGTCCAGCTGACCGGAGTACATCAACTGGAGGACGAAGTAGCAGAAGATGTAGAAGTCCGCGAAGAGACACATGTGCGGGTACAGCCACAAGCTAAAAAGAAAAAATTCCCGACACCACTCTATCCATGGCATTCATAACAATCGTTCAGGATTTGTGCCTCGTCGGCTCCTGACTCCGATCCGTGCTTCAAACGCCGATCGCAGTGATCTGCTCGGTTCTGTGCAGACTGCCGCGGACGTTCATCGACCACGATGTTCCACCGAGGGTTCCTCATTTGACAGAAATTGCATTCCGATCACACCTGTTGACAATCGACACTCCGACGGTTGGGCGACGAACTAATTTGGTGCAGGACTCGCGTTTCGGTCCGCAGATCTCGGCGTCTTGAGACCTCCTTGACCCTACAAAGATCTCCCGTGCCCTGGAAATGGCGAACCGGCTCCTTCGAGTATCACAATTGAGGCTCTTTTAAAGTATTTGTGCACGTTTGCAGTGACACCCGATCGGGCCACTGAGGAGAAGTTCGCGAGCACGTGTTTCTTCCTTCGACTTGCTAGGAGATTACCTGGATCGTGCCTGCATCTGTCTTATTCAATTGCATCGTTCCAGTCCGAATATGCCTCCTATTACAGCATCAATGACTGACGTGTAAGATCTCGTGTTGGAAAATCTCGGCCTGTATCTCGGTTCGCCGTGGCCTCGAGCTATTCTTTGCAGCATGATACAGTTGATCATGCATCGAAGAACCGTCCGCCTGTTGATCGAAACTCCATGAAACAAGAACGCTTCTACAAATTCAAAAGATTGGAGCAATTTGCTCTTCGTTTGCTATTTCGGTGATCGACTAGCGGAACTCATCAAGAGGAGGAGATCAATGCGCACCTACTGACTCTCACATAATTCGCTTTTGTCTGACATCGGGTTTCTCTTTAGATGCCATCGGTTGGTTCTTCTCCTAAACGAAGATACCTCCACCATTCTCGCCAATTTTCCTGCCAGATAATCTAGTTGTAGTAATCTTACAAACGCTGTGATCTTGCTCAAATTTTGACAATTTTAGAGAAATTTCAGACATCGCAAATCTGGTGAAGACGGCCAGCTACTGCAGATTGCGAGTTTGCCTACCCTGGAGAACGTGGGGTAGAGCCTATTCGTGGACCCAGATGAGAAGTCGTTTGCTCGATGATTTCGTGAAGAGAGTAGTGGATTTGAGAATTGGAAGAGGAAAATTGCCAATCACTCGAGGTTCACAATGCTCGATGTGCGGATCTCGTTCCTTAAGCTACTAAAATCTGTTCAAACCGCGCAACCATTTGGACTGTGATTGTTCTGAGGGTGTCGTGCCCAAAGGATCCGTCCAGTGCTTGGATTTTGGAGTGAATTCCATAGCGCTGTAAGATGTGGCCCACGAGTGGCCGCCACGACGAGCATGGTCCTTGGGTTGTTCCACTTTAATTTTCATTCGGTTCAGTTCTTCCTGAATAAGAAAGTTCAACCTCTGCGAACTCGAAGGCTTCTCATCCCCTAAGACATCGAGGACGGTTCTGCTCGTCTTCGAGGAACTTGTTGAACTGGAAGGGTCGCTGTCACAATCTGAGTCCCAGTGGACGCAAGGTCTCGTCGGTGCATAATGCACGCGCTCTCGACTCGTTGCAATTTCTTTGCGGGAACGCAATTCTTCTTCGATCAGGCTTTGGAGTCTTTCTGAGGGTTCATAATCGTCCAGGCCCGATGAGCTAAGCGATGGCGTGTCCAAAGATCCGCAGCTTCGGCCAGGAGATTCGGGACTTGCGTATTCCGGCTTCGGTCTTTTCCAGGAATTCCGAACCATTTGACAGTGGAATCGACCGGAGCTTTCATGTAAAAGGCTCGGCAATTTTCTCATTGGGCTCCTGTCAGTGTCGAGCTCGTCCATCATCGAACTGAATGTCTCCTGAGTGTCCTTGATGATGTTTGTAATTAGCCCCTGAAATCGTTTCTGTAGAATGAGTGCCCTTGCCTTGGCAGCGCAAGGCTCGTCTATCTCCTCCAATTCCACCATTTTCTCCCTCGACCTCGACCAGCAGCGAATCAAATCTCAGCGGCAGAAGTCTCTCCGGGTCCACTCCAGCCACGAGATTGTTGCCTCAACCGTCTTCTACATTCATTGGAACAAGCTGCACCTTCCAATCGCAACCTAGCAATTTGCCCTATCGCCACCAAACTCAATCCCCAACTCTCGCATCTCCGTACCCAGGAAATCGAAGACAGACATGGCTAGTGCCTCTTAAACGGTTCATGGACGAATGGCAGTCCTGTAACCTCGAGAAGTCTATCTTTCCACGCAGAAAGAAACCACTGTCCATCGACCTGTGGAGAATTTCAACAGATGGCGATCACCCACTCGTAACTGTTAAGATCAGCTGAACATGCGACCCCCGTTCAAACCCAAGTGCTGAACCTTGTTGCATCCGTAAGGCCAGTGATCGTCTTGCTGTACAGCCGTCAACTGTCCGGCCTGTGAGCCTCATTTCCCCGAGCACGGGACCGTTGTACCGCTGTGGAAAGATATGTGAGAGTTGACCTCGGTCAACAGATGGTTACAGTTTAGGGATTAGTTGAGAATCAAACTTGGGTTGGTTGGTATCCAAATTGAAACACGGGTGGTAAACATAAGAATTAACAATTCATTACATTTGAGAAGTAAGAAGAGGGCATGCAATCGAGTGTGTGGTTAATTTTCTCGTATTGTATTGATTTAAAGTTGGACATTCAGATCAGAAATATGAAGTTTATCTAAGTATGTATTAAATAGCGTTGCAAGGCTTCATTGAATCTGATTCATTTGACATTTTAATTTCAATTTATCTTTGTGTTTGATTGTACCCCAAATCTATTCTTATTGATGCAATAGAAAAAACTTTGGGTTTAATTGAAAAAATATTATTTTTCTACAGAAATTACATGTTATTATATAAATATAATTTTTTTCTACATTCTTTATAAAAAAAATTTAAAAACATCTTCGTAAGTAACATTTGACACTTGAATTTCGATACAAATAAAATAAAATTTATCCGAGTAGAATAAAATACAAATAAATTCAACATGTAAATAGAAAACATTAGATTTTCGTTTTAATTAATATTTAAATACTTCATATGGAAACATAAACTAAGACGCAACATATCATTCTTTTTGGTGGATGTATGTATTATATTAATATCAGACTATAAACATTACTATCTATGAATGAGAGGAATTTAGTAAGTGGAATTTTCATGTGCAAAACTTGTAGTTCTTTCAGCATTCTGATTTCACTGCTCCAGGTTTTTAGTGATCTTAAAGCTAATTCATGATTATTACTCTTGATAGAATATGAAAATGATATCTTCAATTTCTTGAGGGCTGTTATAAAATATCAGAGCTAATAGATCTGGCTGTAAAGTAAGAGTCAAAATGAGATGTGTATTTGACAGATATTGATATGTGAGGTTCTAGGTCTAAGCAAATTCTCCAATTCTCAATCTCTTCAATATCTATACAATCGCAGACAAAATTTTCAAGTATTATTTGTTATATTTTATTATTATATTTCATTTATCACAATTTTTATGTATACTTGTGATGCATATTTTTGGATTCAAATTATGAAATCAGAAAATATAATAATAAAAAAATAATTTAGATATAACCATTTTTAGATTTGTTTTGCAATTATATCAGTAAATAAAAAAATTAAACTTAAAAAACGTGAAGATTTTGTATTGCAAAATCTAATGATCAAGATTACTAAAAACCTAAAGATCACCTTGAAATTTTATGATATATGTATTGAAAATATTATTATTAATTTATATAGTTAAAAATCATGAAAATAGTTCTTTGTTATAACTAAAATTTTCAAATAAATAAGTAAAAGAATTAGAAAATCAATATGTAAACTAAATGTATCAAATAAATCATAATCTATATAGTTTTTTATTACAAATATTAAAATGGTATACATATATATATGAAAAGTTCAGAGATAGTTAAAGTGTTGGCTGCTCTAATTGAATAAGAGATGGTTATTTATATTGATTAAAAGATTACTATATAAGAAAGTTGATCGTTGATCTATATGATATAGTCTAGAAATTTAGTTTACATAGTTTTGTGTTTCATGGATGTAGTCTAGCAAAAAGTAACCACTTGTATTTTGTATAAAAACCATGGCAATAAATATCGTTGTGAATTTTTATCTTTATTTTGACAATAGTTTGTGAATAGTATAAGTAACATTTTGCGTCAAGCTTCTTTCAACGACACCTTTGAATTTGCAACATGTTTCATATTCATGAACAAACAAATGCAACCCTAAAAACTAGTCATGTTACACAATCTAGCAGTTTTCAATCGTTGATTGATTGTGAATATGATTGTTGATTATTAGATCTGTTATCTTTATTATCCACTATTTAAACAAAGTGGCCGTAACTTTAAGAGTTTTGACAGTCAAAGTTTTTTTAATGACTTGTGTAAAAATTATCTTAGCTTAGAGGAAAATGAAAGCATTGAGAGTTATGACAACTGAATTTTTTGATTTTACAAATGATGAAGATGTGAAGTAGAAAATGGCAGTATAGAATGATGTTAAAATCAAATTTTTACATTTCATTTTTTTAACAAATGATGGCATCAGCTCTAATGATCGATTTTCTTACTTCCACACTTAATTAGCAATGCAGATTGACAAATGATGGCTATAACAAATCACATTGTCAAAAATGCCATAAAATGACAAGTAACATTAATAATATTATTTTAGCTGTGATTTGTGATGTATAGTGGTAAGTTGCAACCTCAAAAAATATTAATTAATAAAAATTTTTGATTTTATTATTAGAGGCAAAGAAAATTGGCACTCTTAAAAATTTTGACGATGGGTAATGGCAACAATTTTAGCCAAATAACATTTTAAATCTATAATCAGCAGCACCTAAAATGACAATCAGGCCGAATCAAAAATATGATAGTCAAAGTTGTTGGTATAGTTTTTACACTTATATAACAATAGGTTAAAAATTTTAAAAAATATTACAAGCAATGAAGTGATCAAGAAAAATAACTTTATATCCAAGTATATTGCTTTCATAACTATCTGAAATTATTTTATATGACTTCAAAAGCGAAGTTAGTTTTCTTTCAGAAAACTAATTTTTTTTGAAATTTAGATTAAAAAAATGTGATTATGCAAAATATAGATCATTGAAATTTTTCAATTTGAAGCAATAAACATAAAGTTATTTAGTTGAATTGATTTAAAAAATGAATAAAATCCTGTCTAATAATTTCAAATAAAATCATTTTTTATCATCTTTTATGCTAACATAAGATAAAAGATATGCTCAATATTTATGTTTGTAGAAAGAAATTAAGTCTTGAGACTGATTTATTGTTAGATTATATTAAATAAATCTCAATACAATGATATACAAAAAATTAATTATAAACAGAATTGAAATTTGTCTACATTGTCATATTTTTAAAAATGATTAATTAAAAAGGTAATTTTGATGATATTGAGCAAAAATGTATATAGGGATATGTCAAATAACTTTTACTAAAATAAAAAATTGATGAATTGCAACATAATCGCATTATATAATTTTGATGATCATTTCTTAAATTTATAAAATCTTAGTGAAAGATCATAGATTAATCACATCAACTTTAGATATCATACAATGATTAAGTTTATTAAAGTTGACCATATTTTTACTTCTAAACTAACATTGACAAAATATTTCATTTCAAAATTTTATTTATTTATTTATTTACAGATTTCAAAATTTTTTTTATGAATGATAACAGATAATTAGCACTTATTTATCTTTGTATATAAGTTTACTCCACTATTTTTACACTACACACTTCATTTATGTAAATTATGGTTTACATGAAGAGCTATGTTAGAATTTTAATTTTCAAATTTTCAAATAGTAATTATATATTATATTAAGATTATAAATATAATATGAATATGAGTAAATTAGAAAATTAAAAAATTGCATGTTTGCATTTAAGTTTTTCATTAGATTTTTTTATTTGATTATGTGTTACTTAAAATTTATCATTAAAAATTTGAATAGTTAGAAAATATATCAAATTTTAATTTATTTTGATTAATTTAACCCTGATAAATTAACTTAGTCATATTATTAGATTACTGAATGAAGATCATTATCACAACTTAGTAATGAAAATTTTGTTTTGGTAAAGAATTTGTTTTGGTGTTGATGTAAACTCATTGAAACAATCATATGATTTTGTAATTTGTATTATATAGATGTAAACTAGATGACAAAAATTAATATAAATCATTTTGCATGATCTGATTTTGAATAATATATCTTTTTAAATTTTCTCAACAATTTAATCTCTTGTGAAACTTGCCAAATTGTTGAAATTTTTGCACATCTGATGCAATGTGTATCTACGTGTTGTCAGATGATTTGATTGATGGCTTTATTCATTAGTTTGGTTGTGTGTCTCACCATGTAGTAAGTGAAAAAGATCATCAAATGTTGTACCAACATGAGAAAAATTTCAATGATTGTTGCAGATTGTAAGATTTGTAATTATATGAAAGAATTAGTTATAGATTAAACAAACAAATTGACTATGATTAGTTTGGTTTTAACAAGTTATAACTAGCTATAACCAAATTTAACTATAACTTTCAAACTTGATGAAATAGTCAGAATATTTTAGAAGTAAAGTTTTCATTGGTTTGAAATCTATCAAAGTTTAGATTTCAAGTACTGAAGACTTTGACAACATGCTGAATTTTGATTGCTTTGACTAAATAGTGTATTTTTTTATTGTTTAGATTATATAAAAGATATGATCGAATAACAATTGCAAACTCAAAGTTTCAAGATACTCAATGACATGTCACAATCTCAGTTCAATGACAAGGATGCTTTGAAATGATCTAGGAATGTCAATAACATGTCATCATAGATTATTTAGCATAAGAATTAGCCATAACTACCAAGATCAATCTTAGTAAAAACAAATTAATAGTTATTTTGATTATTTATAGTAATGTTTTAAGTATTATAGATAGAATGTTCAAAAAGAGACTTTTAAGTAAATTTAAGGAGTTATTTGTGTGAGAAAATGTTTTGATGAAAACTCTATTTTGCACATTTATTTAGAGTGTTGAAGAAAGTTAGTGTTGAATTATGAATGAAAAGAGAGTGTTTATATAAAAGTGTGAGTTTTGACAAGAAAAAATCTAGAAAGAAATTTCAAACAATAAAAATGAAGGGTGTCAAGAGCTATTCATGATTTATCAGATGGATTGAGGATAATTACATCTAAATTTTATTTTGATGTAGATACTTGAAGTAGCATACTTTTACATTTTAATGTACTTGAAGATGTTGAAAATAAATGATTGTGATAGTTTTTAATTTTCAATGATACTGGTTGAAATGAGTTTCAAAATTAGACTATGAGTTTTGTTATGTTACATTTATATTTTTTATTTCAAGCAAGTGAATAATTATGATAATTTTTGTGTTATCAGAGGTATTTGAACACGTTTTTTATTGCAGAAAGTTGTTAAATACTTTACACCTTTTTTTAAAGATTTGAGGTTTAAGATAAAGAAATTTCAAGAATTATTTTAGATCACATTGATTATAACTTGATCTAGCATTTGATCTTGAAGAATACTGGATAGGAGATAAATGTTAAGAGTAAAAGACTCCATTTTTAAACTGTATAAACGATTTCTTCATCAATCATTGTGATTTTTATTGTTTCATTGTGATATGTAAATTATAACTTGCATTCATAAAATTCATGAAGCCATGAAAGTTTTATTAATGATACCTTATAACAAAACATGAGATGTCATTTCTTCCCATTTTTCTTCCGTTATAGCACTAAATGTGCATCAAGTACGATCACACATAATTAATCCAATGATGACAAAACTATTTAATCTAGAGGTAGATCTAATTCTAGAATTAAATGTCATGAAAAAGTTTCTTGTAAAAAATGTGTCAAGATTGGACATGCAAGAAAATAGTTGTGTGAAAAATGCTTAGCTGATGGTGCTACTTCACACAACACATCTCAAAAATTTGAACATGATAATGAAGGTTTGCTCGACGATGCACTGTAATACTCTATGCAACTCATTGAACAATGTTAATGATGGATGGATCTCGATATTGTTTATTTTTATCATATTTCTTATACTTAATACTTCTTTGTATCTTATCAAAACTTATTGAAAAAGATCAAACTTATAAAATTGTATTCATTTAATATACTTTGTTTGATGAAGTTAAATATACATTGTTTCACATCATATTCATACTTGGTAAAACAAAGAATCTTGTCTCTCGGATTGCTGGATTCAAAAATCCTTGAAAAGAGCTATTGAATGAAAGTTCTCAAATCAAATATAAGTGAAAACATTATGTTTAGACTAAAAAATATAAACATGATAAAACATAATACTATTCGTGATGAAATCAAGTCTACTCAGTTGAGTTGAGATGTTCAATTTGTGTCATTTTAGATCAAGTAGTATGAATAATACATCCTCCAAGCTAATATGACCTCGCTGGCCACAGGAGCTTCTTACTTGATATAGATTAAAAAGATTCACAGTTGTATGAACATTAAAGTTTGGAACAAGCACCACTCAAAAAAATAACATGATGTTGCACCATAAATTCAAAGAATTATTGGAGTACGTAGAAAGCAAGATTTGAGATACATCTCTAAAAGAATTTTTTTAGAAATTATCTATGTATCATTTTTATCATGCACTTGTTGCTTTATATATATTATTTATATATATTGTAAAAATTATGTCATGAATAAGCATCATTGAAAGAATAAATGATGTTGAATCATAGATTCAAAATTTTTGTGAAATATGTCAAAAGTGAGGTTTGAAGAATTTTTTTTTTTAAAATAATTCTTAGATTTTATAGTTTGTATCATTTATCAATTAGAATGGACTTGTTGAATTTATTTCATCACACACAATTTAAGATCTTTACAATTTAGAAAATTTGTATTGTCCAAGTGTAGATATAAGCTAGATACAATATGTATGTATGTTATATTATGTATCATTTATTTATGATTACACTATATACATAAATTTATTTTCACACGAAATTAAAATTTTTTTTGAAGCTAAAACTCATAGTTTACACAATACAACGCGAAGTATATATGTACATGTAAAAGCAAGAGACATACTCCTAAAGGTTATAAAATAATTGTAAATGATTAATCCTCATCTTATTAAAATTAAGTCTGAACAAAATTTATTTTAAGATTCTTAAGAAAAAATATTAGAGAAGATTTGAAGTATGGTTACACGATCTGGTTTACCATGTTGTAAGCAATGTTTGATTATCAATGATAAATGAACGTACAAAGTTTATCACAACAAGACTTCTACCATTCTAATTTATTCATAATGATTTTACATCTTTTAAATAATTGAAGGTATCACTTGAAAAAAATTTCAATACAAGCATTCATATCTATTTTTATACGGTTTGCTAAAGATGATGTATGACAATCATTGCGATTAATATCAATCAGATGTTCACTTTAAAAGTTTCCGAAAGCTATCTAATATGGTTATATCAAACAATAAGGGATGAACAATTATTTTTGTATACTATAGCTAGCTGTTAGTCGGCTTTTTGGAATACCTAACGGGCATGAGGCATACGATCAATCTGCCATTAGGATGATCTTATTGCTAATCATATAAATTAGTACATGACAACTGTATTTCTGGTAACAACTGGTATCTACTGTTATTTTATTTTACTTCCTAACACAAAAATAGACAGAAAAGGAGAGGCAGTGATACATCTGAATCAGGTGAGCAGAAGGCATCTGATAAATTGGACTATTTCAGCTAATAGATGGACCTTTTCAGATCATCGTCATTTATCGGTAGTTCCAGATCACGTCCATTGTGCATGCGACGCGAGGCTCTGGCTTGCTTCAGAATCCGACAAATGTGCTCATATTTCATGCAGCATGTCCATGCGCACAATGTCAGAAGCTTAATACCTTTTCCACCATACAAGATTCTCCACACTGCCCCATTTTCTACCATAGTATTGTTGAATAGGCTGCACGAAAAGTTGCTCAAAGTCTAATCAGCTTTGACTCAGTCATTGTAATAGGTTGGCACCTCGTACTCCAGAGAGTCCGAGAGACCGAATCCTGGGTAAGTGATCAGAGTAGACTTCAGCTAGAGAACGAAGTCACATTTTGTTCTACTCCAAGATTCAGTGCTGTAAATTGGGTAGTGCATTACTACTACATTTGAGAATCGACAGCCTTGCACAGATTCCGGTGGCACACCGGAATCTTCGTGTTAAGAAGATAATGTCAGAAAGCTGCAAACTCACAAGATGATCCATGATTTCCATTAGAAAAACTTGACAATGCCTGCCGTTCCGTGATTTTGACGGACCCTGCAACTTTATGCCAATGCAGCGGCGGACATCGCAGTCGCAGTATTTGATATGCCGCTTCTCTAAGGTTGGAATATTTCGTACATACAAAATAAAACGTTCACGACATAACATCACTGTTGGTAGGTCCTCAGAGTGAAGACCGATGGAGCTTTTGTCCAGGAACAATGAACTGGAAGCAAGGACCGTCTCCTGGTAAGCCTCATTAAGCTTCATCTACCTTATAAGATGTTGGGACTTCATTTGAGCTTACATTGCTTCCATCGTTTGTTATCCGTCATCTGTACAACTGGAGCATATTTGTACTAGCAGGTCAGATTTCAAGCACTGACGATAATTATGTCCTAACAAAATCTTACAAATCATAGTAATTCACATAGGCTAGTCTCCTATGTGAATTGACTGGATATAAGGCCGGCAAAGGCCTCCTTACAATAAATGAATATTCAGCTAAACTTACTAATAGAGATGGGTCAAACAAGATATAAGTGGAAGTTATCCTCTGGCTGCTCTGACCTCGCCATGCTTTTAGAATTCTACGCTCCAATATCACAATGACACCATAAACGACTGCTCAGACTGCTGAAGCAAAGATTTGTCTGCTTTACCGGTCCAATCAAAATTCCAGAAAGCTGCTCGCTCCTGAGTCCGAAAGTGACCGGGAGGTAAACATATCTCAAATTTCGAACTTTCCATATATAGCCGGGATGATTGAGATGTGTCGACAGTGGAATGGCCGAAGTACAGTTTGGGGCTCTTGAACGAATCAGAGAGGTATCCGACAGAGCAAAATTTCAGAATCTGCTCCTTTGCTTCAATGTAGTTCGATCTTGTCGTGATCGTTTTCTGTCAGCAGAGTCCGACTCAGTCTGGTGTCAGAATCTTGGTGAGTTTACTGGAGTAGTCAGTGCTGTGTGCTTTAGAAGACAACATTGACAATGAAGACAACTTCAATGGACCCCACAGGAAGCTGAAACTCAAGCTTTTCCTGCTGAGCCCGACGAACCTATAAGCATATAATTGCCATGCGTTGAAGGAAGAACATATCGGCAGACATGCAATTGAGCGAAGAATGACACGAGTTGAAAGTTTAGGCTGCTCTTCGCTTTTCAGGTTGAGACCCCGATTTCAGCTTCTTGGGTCGCAACACGTAGCCAAAATCCGACGCTTCTTTCGATGTCCTGTATAGAATGACCCTTGAATCGCCGGATTTGCATCCTTTATCAGCCCCCGAGGTGCAGTATATATTCTTAGACCGTCGAGAGCAAGGCAACATAAAGCAATCTCAAGCTGTGAAGAGAAAAAGATCAAGTGGTGAAGCTAGCTAGCTGCAAAATTGTGAATTATCAGAGACTTGAAGACGTAGTCCAGATACAAACTGTCGAGGCGTTGGAAGAGTTTGGACTCCGACAATGGGTTCTTTGATGGCTGGGTGGCAGTCTAAACCATTGGATGCTCGACAATGTAAGTTCATAGCCTGCTTCTTCCTGTGGGATCTAGCTGCGCTTGTTTGAATCTGTTGAGTTGTTTAATTGTCTGAACTGCGTGCATACTTGTCAATGAACATGTGTGCACATCGCTCAACGTCGGGGACTTTATGAATTTCCACTTGTCTGAAGAGTTTGAATGACAACAGTCAGTCTCAAAGCTCAGATTCTGACGAAATCCGTGAGCACTGCATGATATTCAGCATTCAAGCGTTCTACTTCGTCGTTGACGAATGACGAAGTGAAAAGGTTCTGGCGGGCGAAGCAGAACTCCATACGGAGGCATCTACGAGAAGTAAGTATCGATGATTCTGTGCTGCAGGGATTATATTAGCATTAATAAACTGCTTATCAAGTTAGGCTTCAAGAGTTTCATTCTGGATACAACTGCACGAGCTTTCCCAGAACTGTATGTCGGCATTGATCGATCTTAAAGCTGTACAAGCATTTTCAGTTCATCTCCAGTTCTTGACTTTACACTTGATGTTTTCGTTCTCAGGCTACATCATCAAGCTCCGATGGAAGTGATTTCGATCAATCAAGCCCTCCGTTAACCCCAACCTCAAGTGGCATGACTTTTGAAGAGCCATCGAGCTTCGAAAAGGCTGACTGGTAAGTTTCACAGCACAGATTCACATACACCTGACACAATGATGATGAGGTTTGCCGTAAACAAGTCAGATTCACAGGCTGAGTTTCGCATGGTTCATGAAACCAACATGCCTCGCCTTACATTTCGACTTGAGCCACTCTGACCTACTTGTTGGAATCTCAGGTGGACGATGAGCAAGTGGGCCTTCTTGAACCAGCCTCCAATTTCTGATACCACACAATCCAAGTACAGAGCTCAATTCGAAGTCGTGAGCTTCCGAGCAGATGAATGAACTCTCAAGATGAAGCAGTGTCTGCCGCATTTATCGAGTCGAAAGAATCGCGGGGAGGAACGTGCTCTCTTCATCTTTTACAAAACCATCTCGAGATGTAAATATTCACGTTATCTGAGTTCAATTTCGAACTAATGTACCACTACCGCACTTGTACGACAGATTCAAGGTAGATTAGATTAGTCGATGACTCCATTCTTTTTCCTTCACCAAGGCGAATTTCATACAGAAATCTGTATTGCAGTAGTCGGAGTTTACTTTTTGATTCAGAGTATCGTGGTTTGAGATAAGAGAGAACCTTAAATGAAAGGTGTACTTTGTTTTACAATAACAGAATTACAATGAAAAAGATTTGTTCGTATGATTTATCGTTCTCTCGGAAAAAATCCGTTTTTCATTATCATGAAGATCACAATCAATTGTAGCTTTTCCAAAATAGCATGCATCTTCCGAAAAGCTGAAGGCGACAGATCCGTTCTTTGAATGCACAACTGATATCATAGACGTACGAAGAAGATCAAGCTACATTGTGATCAGAATTTTGTCAACTCGTTAAAATGTAGGCTGTGAAAGTGAAGCATTTGATGAGAAGCTTTCATATCTAAAACAGTTGCCGGAAGGCTCGGACGCGAAGAATTGTAGTACGGCCCGAGGAATTTATTCACTGGTAAAAAGAATGAGACTTGCACAATATGTGCACTTCTTACACTAGTATTGACCCTCAAGTTCTTTGCCATTCTTCAGAGAAGGGTCTCCATCAATGCGAGGTGAGCCCTCGATAATCTAAGATGGACAATATGCTAATAAGTTCGATTAAGTAAGCTCTCTCAAATCTTCTATAGAAAGAAACAGCAATCCGCAGTTCTTTCCTGTCTAGTGTTTATGCATAATTCTAGCACCTTGTTTAGACCTGGGGAAGGATCACTTCAAATTTGGTTGTGGGTAACGATACTTGGGATGCTAAACATTCGACCGAATGGACTTCATCTGATGTTAGCAATCTCCATGTGGCGTATCCAGTTCCGACTTCAGTGAAACCACTCCTCTAGGTGGATTGGGATCGTTGTTCATAAATTCTGATTGTTTCTATGTTCACTCCAAAGCAGAAAATCGAAACTAGGCGGAAGGAAAGCGTTAGCATTTCCGTTTAGCTCTCGCTCCAAAACTGAGGCCAATTCCTGGCGCACTCAGGGGGGGTGGAGTTGAACCTCTTAACGTCCGTGCAGTAGTCATAGATGACATAGTTGTACTGGATGCGCTTCAAATCATCGACCTGCTTCTTGGTTAGCTTTCCTGCCTCGGAGCTGCCGTACCAGCTGCTATGCAGCTTCTTGTAGCATTCATGCGAGTCTACATATTCGTCACCATGGCTGTGCACTGGACACGAATCCACGTCAAACTCCTTGTAGGATGCGACGAAGGGGGCCTGATTCCAGTCGCACTTGTCTGCTCCTCCTCGGGTAGCCCACAACTCACCATTCCAAATGCTGGAGTATACATACATGGGCTGGTACTCTAGGTAAGGAAGCCCCAGGTCCTTGCTGTTGTGGAAGACTCTGATGACAACGTCATCTACCATGAACCTGAAGTAGAGAAAAATGAATATTTAGTCTTCATCTCACAGAGGTGGACTGAGGAAGTTCACACTCGTCAAGAATAACTAGTTTACGAATAATAAGGACATGACTGTTGTGAGTGAGCAATGTCCATGCAGACATAGTTTAGGTGGAAGGAGATTTGAGCTTCGTCTCTTACAAAATGAGGTCCTGGTTCCAGAGAATGCCGTAGTAGTGGTAGTCTTCGGAGGGATCGAACCAGAGGTAGATCCGTTGCTCTCGGTCGCCCTTTCCCTCCGCGAATACATTGGTTTGGAGAATGTAAGGCTCACCGGACACGTTGCCCAGAAATTCGAAATCCAGCTCACACCAGTTTTCGAAGATGGAAGCAAGCTGCGAAATGACAGATGATAGAGAGTACTCATTACGTGAACATTATCAACGAAGGAATACTGGTAAGTCGACAGTGTGCGATGCGTTTGACCTCTCTGGCAGCGCACGACGGTAAGAGTTTTCCGTTGACCTCACAATCCATATCAGAGATAGCCTGTAGATAATCCGTTGAGGAAGAAGTGCTGATTTGACATCTACATTGAATTCTCAAACGCTTGAATCTTCTTTGAAACTCCAAGATGCGACTGTGCGAATAGAAGAGGTGAATCTTGTAATTAAATTAGTAGGGTCGCGTATTCTTACGTAGAAAGAAGTCACTGTTCCAGCAGAATTTCCTCCCACAAGCTTCAACTTCATGCCAATGTGGCCAAAAAGGAAAGGATACTTCGATCGGAAACCGGAACCTGTGAGGCAGTTAGAGAGGACCAGTAAGTGCCAAGTTCAGCAAACAATCCTGCAAATAAGCGTGCAATCACCAAAATTTCTTGGAAGCTAAAAGACTAGTCTCTGGCGATTCAGTGAATCAGAGTATGACTCTACATGTGAAGCTGCAGACTGTGAAAAAAAATGCTCCTACATGCTCACCAGTTACATATGGAGGTACCTGATGTGTGGTCCAAGCCAAGATCAACGATTTTCCCGGTTTCGTTTCCGGGATAGTTCACGTTCCAGTCGCCAAAGTTGACGTAAAAGTCGCCCCAAAACTCCGAGGCCTGTGCAACGGAGACAAACGCCGCACTGAGGCAAACCAAAATCACCGCCAGCTTCATCTTGTCCATGCTCGACGACTAGCTACAACTGCACCTAGAAAGCTCGTGAATGATACGAGGAGATCAACTGCCGCACAAATATCTGTTCTGATAGCTGAATCCTCTCCTGCCTCTGAACTTAGAGACAGACGACAGGATTCGAATGATTTTGCCTCCAGTGCTGCCTCTACTTATAAGGAAGGTGGGCTTCTGTCACGGGCTTCGCCGTTCCTGGCCTGCACATCCAGAAGCGTGAGCAGTTGCCTACTTTGAGGAGACACTAGAGACAAAGTGCAGTCGTGCGTAGCAGTGGCTCCTATGCTATTCGCACGCACGCGTAGCTCCTTCTGATCTTGCTTGTCTCCGAGACTGCTTTTGGATGGTGAACTATACCCATGCTTAGCAGGATGCGCTATCTGCGTGCTAGATAAGCTCCTGAAGATTTGTCACAAAGCATTCGTTTGCTAGCTTATAACAGTAGGTAATTAGAAGTGCTCGGCGATGCCCAACTATGCACTATGTCCAAACACTTTTCGTTTCCGTTGCCTCAATCAGAAGGAGATACCATCATAGATAGGACGTCCACTTTGACCGCTCTGTTTCGATTTGCGTGCTGCGGATACTGACCTGGGTCCAAGCAGCGCAGACTGAACTAGCCTCCGGAGTTCGTTCGAGTTCGAGTTCAAGTCTCGGTTGCTTACGTCAATGCATTCTCTCCAGATCGTCCATTGTTCCCAACATTTAATCTTCGTTGAAATCTGCTGATTATTCCCTGAAACCATTCTTAAATGATTAACCACCAGATTAACCACAGTTGGCTCCAAGACTAATATTCACTCGTAGTTGGGGTTCACGAAGGATCAGCTTGAGGAATGCTTACGGCTCCAAAATGTTCATAATATAAGGTCTCCTGGTCTGATCGGATTTTGAGATGTTTATATTCAATACTTTCGAATAAGGCGAATCTTTCTGCATTTGGTAGAGAGAAAAAGAGTATGGATAGCGATCATAATGATTGCTATCCGTACTCGTGATCGAACAGAATGGAATAAGAATTTTGGGCAAAAGCAGAGCGTTCCGAAGGAGGGAACGTGAGAGTCGAAAATTCGAGGTCAACTTTGGCGGCTGCTGTGAGCAGCAGTGTTCCGTTACGCGTATCATAAGGGGCTCGATTCTCAACGCGAGGCAGTGCACGCTTAACTGCAGCACCAAGCATCGGATGATTACCTCGAAACTCGTTGTGTACTGTGAGATGCAACCGTACGGGTGATCAGTACCGGCAGACACTTCTGGGATGTCAGTCGCTATCCTTGCCACTGCTGCAGTTTCTAAAAGGACATATGCAGCCCTCCTTCCCTCAGCCCGAATCAAGGGAAGCTACTAATCTTCCATTATCCTCCAGAAGAATCAGAGTTTCCTTACATCCAGTCTCTGAAACCGATAGATACCAATACACATGATTCTGGACTAGTGAAAGGTCACTCACTACACCAGCGAAATAAGCTCGAAGCAGTCGGTGACAGTGAGGACGATCGAGAGAGGATCTCGTCCCTCAGATTGCTGGAGGACTAATTCCAAATTAAAAGTAAACGCGAGATTCAGATCCGAATTGAATGCTTCCAGATTCTCTGTCGGTAGCGAGAGGACCGTCAGGGCTCGTGCGGGAGTAGTGCACATGGACGTACATGGGGGCTAATCGACTCACTCACTCACTCACTGACTCACTCTTCCGAGCTCAGAGAAGCCGACAGCGTTCGTCTGCCAGTGAGGGCGCCAACTTGGACACGACCACGTAAACTCAGAACCATGATCGCAACCCCGGGGGGCGATACAAGGCGTTGGGAGCGCGGAGCCCTGAACGAGCGAGAGAACGAACGTACCGTCCGCAAAGCGCCGGCCGATCGACTGGCGTGACCACGAAGCAGCCAGATTTAGAAAGTTGACGAGGGAGAGGGGGACGAGAGGGAGCTGGAGACTCGGACGGACGGACGGGGTCCAGGCGCATGATTGGGCGAGCACCTCGTCCGGGCGGGCTCTCGGAGGGTCGTCGACTGGACGGCGAGGCCACTTGAGCAGGAGCCGGGATCAGCGATGGATGTGTCGACACTGGTGGAGACGCGCTGGGACAGGGCGACTCTGTCGCGGAGTCCCTTTGTTTCTAGTTTTGTAATTTATTCCAGAATAGGCGGATTGCAGATCGCTGGAAGTTCAGCCCAGCCTGTGGCGGACATGGAATGTAGCTCTGCGCACCCGGGACGACCATCATGCTCGCGCACTCCTCCATTCCGCAGACGTGTCGCATCATGTACAGCTGCAGCCTGGGAATGAACTCTTCCGGGGTACGGATTGCTCCTGCATGCTCGCTCGGTCGGTGTCCCCGACACTTCCCATTGGATCTACGTTTTCTGAATGTTCCCGTGAGCACTGAGCGCGGGTCGCCGAATTTTCCTACAGAGATGTCGAATTCTTCTTCACGCTTACTAAAATTCAGAGGACGCAAAGGAACTTTATAAGACTTGGAACTGTTGATCACCCCGAGAACCGGGAAGACAAATAATAAACGGCTGATTATATTTATGATCTTAATATGGAGTGTGGAATAGTGAGGTTTCATATGAAATACTGTCAGTTTCTCACGATGTGTCAATATTTCGATTGTATCTCAATTCCGCGAGTTCGATCGATTTCCATTGCAGCTGATCCCATGTCTCAGTCCCTCGGAGTTACTGCGGATAATTAACTGTGAGTTACCCGAATAATCTCAAATGATCCCAAGATAGAACCCCCGGAATTACTCAGGGTGATGATCGCCCACACTCCGGTCATCCGAGGTTTGCTGAGACCCAGGCTCGTGCTCGTGACAGATATATAAGCCTTTAGGTAGACCTCCAGCATCAGTACTCGCTGGATTCGTTCTCTTTGTCTCTCTCTTCTGGAGAGATTAAGCAGAAAGGAATTTTGCAAGAGTTTCTACAATCCGTGCGATTCTTATTGTAGACGCTGAGGCAGAAGGATATCGCAAGATTCGTCGAGGAGCTAGATAGAGGGTGTACGAAGGTTTTGAGAGAGCGGGTTTAGCAAGGATGGACAAAATGAAGATAGCACTGGTGCTTTTGTGCTGCGTTTCCTTTGCGGTTGCCATCGCAGAAGCCTCGGAGTTCTGGGATGACTTTTACGTGAACTTTGGAGACTGGAAAGTGAAGTACCCTGGAATGGAAACTGGAAAGATTGTGGATCTTGCTCTCGATCAGGAAACTGGTAATGGCTTTCAATCCATACTCATGAAATGCAAAGCTTAGAGTAATTGTCCTGGTTTCACACAGCACGGATTCAGTTGCTTCATTTTGCTCTTCCACGTATTATTCTTGGTTTCAGAAAGCAAACCCGCTTGCTACTTTAGAAATCGCTGCTGTGAGCTAAAAAAACATGTCTGTGAGGACCTGGCATCTGATCATAACTGAAATACCTGTTTACAGGGTCAGGTTTTCGCTCAAAGTACCCTTTCCTCTTCGGACAACTTGGAATGAAACTGAAGTTGGTGGGAGGAAACTCCGCCGGAACAGTCACTTCTTTCTACGTAGGATACTCGTCACTATACAACATACCCATGACTCAGTTTTCGATATATGAGAATTATCATAACGCACTTTCCCTTTGCCATGGCTTTAGAATTCAGTGCCTGGCTTGGCTTCTCGCAGCCAGTTATCTTCGGCCGTGTCAGATTCTGTGATTTTTGCGTCAACATCGTTCATGACAGCTAGGAAGTATCTTGTGCCGGTTCACATGTGCAAAGCTTGTTCATGCTGAGGGTATCATATTGTCTGTGCTGATCATGAGTGTGTGATGATGATCTGCTGCAGCTTGCCTCGGTCTACGAGAAATGGTCTGAGCTGGACTTTGAATTCTTGGGCAACACTTCTGGCGACCCATACATATTGCAAACTAACGTCTTCTGCGAGGGTAAGGGCGACCGTGAGCAACGTATCTACCTCTGGTTCGACCCCTCTGCTGACTACCACTACTACGGCATCCGCTGGAACAAGGACTTGATTTTGTAAGCGAACGCTTTCCTCCTCTATCCCAAACCATATTCTCTGAAAACAAAGACGCAGAAGAACGCTTTACCTTATGCTGTGCGAATGGATGTACCTGCATGAATGTTGCCTACAGCTCGAACCATGTCATGATCATTTTCAGAGCTGTCACTGCTAGATATACGCCAGTTTCTAAAGGATTGTGTGCACTTGGAAAACAGGTTCATGGTCGACGATGTGGTGATCAGAGTCTTCCACAACCCCAAGGATCTTGGCCTTCCTTACTTGGAATACCAGCCCATGTACGTCTACTCCAGCATCTGGAATGGAGAGAGCTGGGCAACTCGTGGAGGCGCAGAGAAGACAGACTGGTCGCAGCAGCCATTCGTTGCTTCCTACAAGGAGTTCGATGTGGACTCGTGCAGGGTGGACAGCCACGGGGAAGAGATTGAGGACACTCATGAATGCTACAAGAAGTTGTACAGCAGCTGGTACGGCCAGCCCGACGTCGGAAAGCTGACCCAAAAGCAGGTCGATGATCTGAAGCGCATCCAGTACAACTACGTCATCTATGACTACTGCACGGACGCCGGAAGGTTCAACTCGACCCCACCTGAATGCGCCAGGAACTGGCCTCAGTACTGGACTGAGAGCTGAGTGGCAACCAGCTTCCACCTCTAGCATGAATTAGGACCGTTTGTGAAGTGAACACCACAATCCTTCTGCCTTCCACATGGCAGTCGAGACTGGACTGGATCAGAAGAAGCTGATTCTGAGAAATCAAGAACTTTTGGCTATTTCCAGTCTGCCTGTTATTCAGCAGACTTGTTCTGGTGATCTTAGGAGTGATCAACCGCTGCTAAATAGCACTCATTCCTGTCTCTACCAGTCCTGCTGAATAGACCGCAGGAGCAGAATGTGGCAGTAGCATTCTTCTGTAGCAAGTTTATCGTTTCTGGTATTAAAGTGCCGGTTCATCGGTTTCAAGCGAATTGCACGCATTGTGCTTTATTATTTCGAAATATTTGTAATAAAAGGCCACTCTGGGGTTTTGTGCCCATCTCGGTCATGAGCCTCAGACTTTATGAGCCAGTCAGATGAATTGACTAAAGACAAGGAGCAAAAGCGTTTCGAAATGTCGCAAAATAGTGTCTTCAATCTCAACATTCGACTGAACTGAAAGCTGTCGTCGGATATCTCTATCACTAATCGGTCTCGCTAATTGCACTTTACTTGTATCTGATTGAGAATCAAATCTCATACCTTTTCGAACGTCAGTGCCCTCCTGCATATATTTTTGTGAGAATCGCTGTCAATCCGACTAAAACAGTCTACCAGATCGAGGAGCAAGCCAAGAGATTTTCTAAATTTGTTCCATCTGTAAATAGATCTCCGATTACCGCGCGCACGAAATGTTTCAACGCACCATCACTGATAGATCAAGGAAAGAATGTACTTCAGCCACGTAATGCGTAGGGCGTGCAGACGTCTCATGATCAAAATCGAGCGGCGACTATTGGATTCAGACCGAATCACGCAAAGGTAGGAGGTGGTCAATCCTAAGATTTATGACCACTGAAATTCGGGACGGAAGACAATGCAATGTGCCGAAGGTGAATGATAATTCGAACATCTAAATCGATCACCTCGCAGAGACAGACTCAGATGACGGTCACTCAGCACAGCGTAAGACATGTGGTAACTCTGGCGACTAGGAAGTATAGATGACATTTCCTAGCGGCGTCGTCCACACCTGGAGACCAAAGTTGTCTGAGATGGCCTGGTGGTTGAGCTGATTGAATGTGGTGTAAGCTGGAATTTAGTCAGGCGTCCAGTCATTACTACAATTTCGAGAATACGTTCGAGAAAAGGTCCGCGGATGAATGGAAACGAACGTCTCAGACTCGTTCGCTAGTCAGATAGAGCCAAGAAATTAAGCAGATCATCCTCACTCCCTTCATTTCAGTTTGACGTTTATCACTGAGCTACCTCTCGATCGTCGACTTGGAGTAGCGGCATGGACGTGAATGCATGCATGCCATGGACGTCGATCTCTTCGAAAGCATCTGATCAGGCTCAAGGTGACGAGAATGGCACCGTCGAGTCCACTGCGCTGTACGGCCGAAATTGACTGCATGGGCAGTACGATGCGTTTGGGGAGGAGGGTGGCTTTATGTACTCAAGGCAGTCTGTATCACTGCCAGGGCCCATGATTTGCACATCATGCTGCTGCTACTTGTTCTTTCAGTGTGACGCATAGGGACGGGGAGCCAAATCCCCTCTTGCTCGCCTCCATCTGCGTGGGGCAGGTACGTAGTGTTGGACACGACGTGCACAATAGTTCCTCGAGGATTAATTTTAGTTGGCCCGTTCAGGTGACATAGCAAGCGACAGAAACCGTGACAAAACAGCCATGGACCTCAGATCATGGGGAATATCTGCCGGTTCTTTCGCTTCTCTCTGGGAACAATTCTAGCAAGTCTGGTCCCCAGCCAAATGTCCTTCCCGTACAAACATTCGAGGTATTGTTCGTGCAAGGAATGATTCAATCAAAGAATGGATAATGTCGGAAGTGAAGAGTTTACGAGAATATCGAGATGGACAACGACCGAGGGCCGTAAGGCAGTGACTGGTCCGTCGTAGAGAGCTCGACTCCTCCTGGGAAGTTGGGGAACGCAAGAAGCACAGTTTAGATAACCCGGGTCACTACATTGCGTGTTGACGGCTGGGCATTGTACTGAATTTTATACTTCATTACAGACAATTCTCTTCACCAGCTCCAGTTTCCAATCTTCCCTCATAAATGATTGGAGGTCAAAGAATTTGGTAATGATTGCTCTCAGGACTTTTCAGAGGGTCTCTTGAAAATGTTCTTATATTACAAATATACACGATTACATCCAAGAAGGCATGCGTTCGTTTGCACAGCAGCAAACTGTACGAGTGAAGAGTTGGCGAGATTTTTCGAAGAACTTGTTTCATTAGGCAAAAAATTGTCCTAATCTCAATAAGTCCGCTAGTGGACAGCTGTGAATGGCATGTCATTCTATCGTAAGACAGGAGCGTTTCCACAGTCTTGGCTACGCACGACAACTATGGGAAGCTATACGTGGCGCCAGAGCTGCAGTTCGAGATTGAGGAAACTGCTGATGACCCTTGTACGGATGCATTGTTCATCGCACGGTCAAACAGTGCTTATAAGTTGAAGCCGCTTATATAAATGGACGCATCTCCGGCTTCTTCCATCACTTGACTTCTTTCTTCTCTTCTATCTCTCGTCTGGGAGAGAAGAAAGAATTCTAACATAAAATCTTTGACCGTAAGATCATTTGAACATAGTTGTAGTAGTAGGTGTAGAAGTTCATCACCTCGCGTCTAAGTTACACATAACGTAGTATAGGTGTCCTGTCAGGAGCTGCTGGAAGTTCAAGAGTTTGGCATTCATGGGTACAATGAAGGTCGCTGTGGTGTTGTTGTGTTTCACTTCGGTATTTCTCTCAGCTGCTCAGGCATATCAGACGAAGAAAGACGCCAAATTTTGGGATGACTTCTACGTGAACTTTGGTGATTGGCAAGTGGGCTATCCCGGATCTGGAGAAGACACAGGAAAGGTGGTCGACCTTGCTCTTGACAATACAACCGGTATATTTCATTAACCTCTAAAGCCCGAAATCTGATTTTATGCATGAAGGTACAAATGATGAATTGAGATTGTTATATAGAAAATATATACATATAAACACGTACACGCAAGTAGTGAAGTCTGTTACTACGTTAGATTTTATATCCTCGAAAGATCTGGTTTAGCTTCTGTTTGCTGACGTCGAAACGATTCATTGTTCTTTCATCGATTATTGCCTAATTGTGTAATCACCTCGTACTATTGGAACTGATAGGATCTGGATTCCGCTCCAAATACCCATATCTATATGGCCATCTTGGAATGAAGCTAAAGCTTGTTGGCGGAAACTCTGCCGGCACCGTCACTTCATATTACGTAAGATTTTTCAAACTTTTCTTTGAACTTTCGAGAATTTAGCGAGTCGTTTCCGACCCAGTGATGATCAGCAAGAAGTCACTTCGAAGCTAAAGAGGTAGAAAACATGAGTGATGTAGAGCCGGAAACATAAACTCTAGTGAGTGGATTCTGCTGGTTCAAGCAACGAGCAATGGCTGAACCTTCCTTTGCATGGATTGTACAGCTCGCCTCAGTATACGAGAAGTGGTGTGAGCTGGACTTCGAGTTTCTAGGCAATGTGTCTGGCGAGCCGTACATCTTGCAAACCAATGTCTTTGCTGAAGGAAAAGGTGACCGCGAGCAACGTATCTACCTGTGGTTCGACCCTTCCGAGGATTACCACTACTACGGCATTCTCTGGAACCAGGACTTAATTCTGTAAGATTCTGATCAGCAACTCCGTCCTCAACTCTGGGAAACGCGTTGATATTTTTTCGGCTCTTTCTTTTCGCCACATAAATTCTTTCCTCTGTATCGAAACCTCTCATTCAATTCGATGATAATTCTAGAGAGGAACCCAGAAGCACAACCAAATTCTATCATATCTCATATGCTATAATTCAATTCTCTTCAGGTTTTTGGTCGATGATACCGTCGTTAGGGTCTTCCACAACAGCAAGGATCTAGGTATCCCGTACTTGGAATATCAACCCATGTACGTCTACTCTAGCATCTGGAACGGTGAGCAGTGGGCAACTCGCGGAGGCGCAGACAAGACTGACTGGTCCCAGCAGCCATTCATCGCATCCTACAAGGATTTCGATGTGGACTCATGCGCCGTGTTCGGTCATGGTGAAGAACATGCAGATACCCATGAATGTTACAAGAAGTTGTACAGCAGCTGGTACGGTGATGCCGAGTCCGGGAAGCTGACCCAGAAGCAAATCGATGACTTGAAGCGAATTCAGTACAACTACGTCATCTACGACTACTGCACAGACACGGAGAGGTTCGAGGAAACCCCCAAGGAATGTGCGAGGAACTGGCCTCAGTAATCGTGGAAACTCTTCACTTGCTCTGGCAAATGTTTTAGCCTAGAATCTATGAATACTAGAACATCAGTGGAATGCAATCATTTAGTGAGATTTGCGTTGTTCTGCTGAGACTTTCCCTCCGATGGTCCACACTGCGAGCTTGCTATGTCAAGCAGAAGATTCCATCGGTGTCGTGGAGAGGGCCATTGGGAGGGGTTTTCTCTCCATCACCTAAACACACCTGGTTCTGACCTACACCGCATAGATTTATATAATTTCAGAAGATAATATTAGGTAGACTGCACCCATTGTGTATTGATTCCTTCATCCGAAAACAAAGTAAATGCCCTTTGGGCAGAGTCAGCAACAACTTCAAATATTCTAGTCTACTTACAGTTCATATCCGTGGCCTCTTCTGAAAACAGAATGATCGATTTGGCTTACTTTAAGTGCAAGTTAGATCAGTCCAAGAAATATCGTATGAAATCTCATCAGATTCTGTGATTGATATTCCTCCTGCACTATCTCCCATGTGTCCTTTAAAATTCTTGAAAGAACTTCTAAAAGATGATCATCTGTTTTGCCTAGATCTCGGAACAGGGACGATGCTCCTCTGAAAGGATCCCGAAAGTTCTGTCAAACTTTGTGCGGATTTTGGTTCATGCCCTTGTGGACAGTATCATTTGGTGCAATATGATTGGTGTTCCAGAAACTGAGCGAATTCAAAATGACTGAAAGCACATGCAATCAAGCGTGATGGAGTGTATATAATCCTAGAGTTATATATTTACTTAATGAATGTATGATCGGTGTCACCGACTGAGCACTAGTGCAGAAGACTATTAAATGCTATGGAGACCGTAAACATTGTCATTCCGAGAGGACCCGCTTTCTTAGCAACAACTGTACTGATCACCGTAAACAGATACAACTCGATACACCAGAGAACAAGTGGATGTGCAATCTACACAACGAGCTCAGGCTAAATTATTGAGAAACTCGAGATCTAAAAGTTCACACGGAAGATGGACTCTTTCCTCGATTAAAAAAATGGACAAGAAAAGAACATAAGATAAGAAGCATCATGCCGGAGATCATGATGATGGAGCTCGACAAGATGAAAGCGAAATTGGGAAACTTTCTACTCGAATCCCTCCACAAGGGCATCCCAAGGACACATGTTGATGATTTTGAAACTGAGCTGACTATTTCTGGATTGAGGAGAAGGTCGACGCTGAGCTAACGACTGTAGAGTAGCAAATTACATGGAAGGACAATCCAGTCGTAAGGCTATACTTGTAAGAAGTTTCTAAAAAGCACAACTAGTTCTTCTTTGACAAGAGTTTTCTGCCGGACGTACCCAGTTGAAGGGAAGGTTCATACTGTCCTTACGGGGAATCTAATGACACGAGACTTTCTCAGCCTGGTGTCAGCACAAAAAGTACATGCAACTTGGCGTGGCTTGTGCTGGACAACTTCATCTCAGGAGACGTCGAGAGAAATAAGCCTTGGGATAAGTGTACGTGGGTACATTTTCAGTACAAGGCCACTCATTGATGCAGCAGTTATTCTGTCCCCATGCAGTTACGCAAATCAGACAACAAACATTCTACCCATCATAAGTTCGAGATATCCACATGAAAGTTTATGTCACCGACAAGTTTTCTCGTGATGTCATCCCTTTTTGGTAGACGTGCAAGATCATCAGAGCGCCAGACTCTCCCGATTCCGTGCTCAAGAGAAGCATATAGCGCACGCTTTCGAGCATGATCAATGCGCTGATGGAGAAAAGTAGCCAACGAGTTTGTGTATATTGTCGAGTCGACCCCACAGTTGAAACTCGTAGTGGGTCAGAGAATATTTCAATGTGATAGAACAGTGAACCCTCACGAATGGAGGAAGTCCCATGAAGGTATGCAAATGGACGGCGAGTTCCCGCATCTGTTTATTTAGGTGACCAGGGCTTTCAGAGCTTGGTCCAGTCTCACTGTTGGAGTAATTTAGAAGAGATTTGTTCACCTCAAAGTGATGAGAAGATTTGTTCACCTCAGTCACCACAGTGTCCTTCCTGTTCATCCGTGATATTCTTTCTGTATTGTGCAATTTGTGGATGCCCACCATTCCCTTTCACCCGCTCAAGGACATGACTGCCGCAGACCCTGCGCTTTCCGAGCTGTATCCATGGCGTACAAACGCGCTGAGCACGCGTAAGAACTGTACGACACAGGTAGATCTGCAGGTACGACTCAGGACTCTGCTGCGGGGAGCATATAAATGCTCTGGATTCAATGCCAGAAATCAATCAAGTTCTCTCTCTTCCTGCTCACAAGGAGAGCTAGACCTTCAACATAAGTATATGATCTGAACATCGTTGCTGACATCTAGCTTTAGAAAGCTTTTGGTATAGCCAAGTTCATTCGTTGCCGTGTGGCAGATATGGGGAAGATGAAGGTTGCAGCTTTCTTCTTATGCTTCACTTCTCTTTTCGTCTCTTTTGCCCAAGCTTCCAAGTTCTGGGAAGACTTTTACGTAAACTTCGGTGACTGGAAAGTCGAGTATCCTGTTTCAACAAGTTCGGGAGACTACAAAGTTGGAGACATTGTGAATCTTGCTCTCGACAACACCACCGGTAAGATATGGATACTACTGGAGATCAGGGCCAGCAGGTTTGTTTTACAAAATCTGTGTGCAGTGAAAATTTTGTACTTTTGTTACAAACTGCTCCACCCGAGAGTGCCTAGTGCCTAGTGCCTAGTGCGTGCATTCTGTCTGACGATGTCGAGGAAATCTGACAATTGAATCCATTTGTGTTGATCAGGTTCAGGATTTCGGTCCAAGTATCCGTTCTTGTATGGACACATTGGTATGAAGTTGAAGCTCGTGGGAGGAAACTCTGCCGGTACTGTCACTTCCTACTATGTAAGTAGCAGTACAAACCAAATCTTCCCTCATGAGCTGTCACAAGAGGTCGATATAATGAGGAATAGCTAGTAAACCCTCATGAACCAGAAACTTAGGACCGCATACTTATAAAACATGGTAAAAAACATTCTACACCGGAACAACGTTCTACCTGTTCGTCTGATATAGCGCATTCGTTTATTGCTCCTGATCCTGATCTTTCGAGTCTCATTTGCAGCTTGCCTCTACGTACAAGAAGTGGTGTGAGCTGGACTTTGAGTTTCTGGGAAACGTGTCTGGTGAGCCATACATTCTTCAAACCAATGTGTTCGCCGAAGGAAAGGGTGACAGGGAACAGCGAATCTACCTGTGGTTCGACCCTACTGAAGATTACCACTACTACGGCATTCTCTGGAACCAGAACCTCATTTTGTAAGATTCCATTCTAGAATCACTTGCTTTCACATTTTGACCTACAGCGGATCAAAAACAATCCACAATTTGCCACAGCTGTTGATGTATGTACTCGTGTCGAAGGGCTAATTTGACACGGTTGAGAAATCCAGTCTTGATCTCATGGACTTTTGTAAATACAGGTTCATGGTTGATGACGTCGTCATCAGAGTCTTCCACAACAGCAAGGATCTTGGAGTCCCCTACTTGGAATACCAGCCCATGTACGTTTACTCCAGCATCTGGAATGGAGAGTTGTGGGCCACCCGTGGTGGTGCCGAGAAGACTGACTGGAATCTGCAGCCTTTTATTGCGTCTTACAAGGACTTCGACGTAGATTCGTGCGCAGTGCACAGCCACGGCGAGAACCAAGATGACTCTCATGAATGCTACAAGAAGCTGTACAGCAGCTGGTACGGCCAAGCTGATGCAGGGCAGCTCACTCAGAAGCAGGTCGATGATTTGAAGCGCATCCAGTACAACTATGTCATCTATGACTACTGCACTGATGCTGAGAGGTTCGAGGTAACCCCTCCAGAGTGCGCCAGGAACTGGCCCCAGAGTTTCCCCGTGCAGATGTAGACCTATGACCCCGAATTCCGGATGTAGATCAAGCAAATGGATTTAGAGAATCTCGATCCAAATTGGATCCTTCAACCATTGACAAACTTATTGTGAAGACTTTGCGCTCATGCAGGACTTAAACTTCCGAGGTTCTCACTCAGAAGCTCGCATGTGCATTACTTGTAGCTGACAATGCTCTGCGGAGAGACAGAAAGCAGAATCGTCTCGGTGAAGCTAGCATGCATTTTCCTTAATTAGTTGTACTCGTCAAATGTAATGGTGGACAGATGGAGAGCTAGGATATTAGATAATGAAATTCCTACACTAGCGGGATTGACATGCACACTGTGCATATTTGGACCATCGAATTTGGAATAAAAGGCCTGAAGTCCACTTTAGGAGCCCACATGTTTCACTTTTATCAGAAATTATCTTTACTATTGGTAGCAACTTCAAAAACATCTGAAATTTCATGAGCCAGAGGCCTGGAGATAGACTCTATGCAGGTCGTCTGTCAGTCCTCCATAAAATGGATTTGTATGTACGTAATGCCTTCCAGCTTGGATTCTAAAATGAAAGGTTAGATGAAGGGATGTAGGTTATCTCATTCGTGAATCCCATTGGAATGTGACAAAAGTCCACAATTCATAAATGATGTCCTTGGCATTTTAGTACAACATGCTCGAGACTCTTTACATGCCCAAAAGTAGATAGTATAATGTGTTTTCTCTTCTTCCTCCTGCGATCTCACTCAAGTTGTAAATTCTAACTTGATTTATACACATCTAATCAAAGTCTCCATATTCATATTGGATCTGGTCAATTTTTTCTCTCAAAAGACATGTATCTTGATTCTATCGTGCAATTTTATTTTCTAACTCATACCAGTCAAATTTGTATATCCAAAAGTCTTCATCTTGATTCCTATATTCATGCACATTTTTTACTATTCAAAACTTGTTCAGGTTGATAAATGATTACAAAACATAGCATCTTTCATGGATAGGATTGTACAAATGGATGGAAGATATACACTTCACATGTTATAGTGAACATAAAATGTCTCCTTGTGAAATATAAATGCTCGAAAAGATATTAAATATCCAACATAAAGCAAGCAATAATACGTTTTGCACTGGACTAGTATATCTTCACATCTGCACTTAATGTATGAAGATCAAATTATTGTTTTTGACTCAACAACCCATGACAGTATTTCATAGGTCTAATTTGCTAATTAGCAATTTTCTTCTTGTAACAATGATAAATGTCTTAAGGCATATGAGTGTAGATATATATCAATTTTTTCATGAGTAACTACAAGATAAGCATGTGGATTCACTCATTAGAATACATCGTAGCAATGTATGTTTATATGTTTGTGAAATTAGACGCAAGCATAACCCACTATACAAAGCATAGTTATAAAAATATTTCAAGATTTCTTCTCATCTATATAATTTCTATTACTTATATATCACTCAAATTGTTATATTGAGTAGAAAAAATTGCGCTATTTTCTGTTAATTTTATTAGACCTTTCATTTTTTTCAGATCATTTTACTTGGGTAAATTGTGTACACTAATGCACACATGAAATGTGCGGACTCATCTCGGTGTTACCCTTGATTTCTTCTATCAGTGCTGGAGTGTGTTTTCCGATCCTTTTTGCATCAACTTGGTGCCGAGATTACGGCCGACCCATAGAATGTCAAACAAACCACATCCGCATAAGTTTTGGCACAGTTAATCATACGCAGCCACTTGAACCTAATGTAACGACGTCTCGTGCATTCTCATATTCCTTGGTTCCAGTCCTTTACATCGTCGAGCTGGTCCCGGTTCGGTTTCCATGATAATTTTTTGAATTTCAATTCTCACCTGTTCCTCCCATGTTTCAAACCCTGGTGGGAGAATTGAAACTCGCGTCTCAGAAAGTTGATCGAACACTCCAAATTAGGGATGGGCACGTAGCCGGCTAACTTTCGGCTAGCCGATACGAACGGCTAGCCGCAGGCTAATCGGCTCTCGCCCGAAAATGCAATCAACCGAAATATTCGTCCGTGATAAATTTTTTTTTGGATAATTTCGGTCGAAGCTGAGATAATCGGCCGAAATCGTAAATTCGGTCCGAGTTTACGGTTCGTTTTCGGCCTCGGATAGAGGTGGCAATATTTATCGGCTAGCCGACTGTATAATCGGCTAGCCGGGTAACAAAAAATATTAGCCGGCCCATCCCTACTCCAAATGCTACTCTTAGATATGGTGTTTATATTTGGAGACTACATTGGTCAAACCCTTGTTCCCATTATTTGATCTACATTTCTTTTACTCGTCTTCTTACTCAATTTGGCATGGACAACTGAAATTGCTTGTAGGATTTGAGAATCTTTGCATTTTTCTTTTACCTCCAAACGGGTATTGGTCAACAAATCTGTAGATATGAGTACCCGGACTTGAACTCTCGTTCACAGAAGCGGAGAAGACTCTCTCGTGACCAATAAATTCCACATACGCTGACTTCGTGGCATTCAATATTAGATCTACTCTCACCCCTAGATGTTGGATGAAGAATGTGCTGACTGTTGATGGTCTCGCAGATACCATGTGACAGCAGCGCGTCTTACTGGTGCATGCGTATGATCAAGTACTCCAGGACTATCCAGACATTCTGGCTGCCCACGACTGCACATCTCAAAGCGCCATCCATCAGAGCCATATCGCCATGTCTAATCATTCCCGTGCTGTTTCCTTCTGCTTCATAAGATATAAAAGCGCTTCAAAGGCAACTAAGATATCAATTGAGCTCTGCCTTTCTCAGAGCATCAGAGAGGAGAAAGGGTTCTCATTAAGCATTCCATGATTGCTATATTAGTGAACTCCGTACTTTGGGTAAACATTGCATCCACATACCAGGCAAGTCCAATTCTCGCTAGAATACATATCGCCCAGTGGAGGTGATGGCGAAGATGAAGATTGCCACGGTGATGCTTGTATTCCTCTCGACTGCAGTAACTTTCTTCGTCTCCGAAGTTGAAGCCTCGAAGTTTTGGGATGATTTCTACGTCAACTTTGGTGACTGGAACGTGGACTACCGCACCGCTGATGCTGATAGTGGGAATATAGTGGTGAACCTTGGACTTGACAACACGAGTGGTAATCTCCAGCTTTCCCCATGCTTGCCATTTGTGATAAGAAGGAAATGGAAAATTAGTATATATATTCCTTCGCCTCGAGGATTCTTTGCACGAGGTCGTCGGTGATTTTTGTATTTAAGACTAATGTACTGTAATTGTGTGCTTGACAGGATCTGGATTCAGATCCAAGTACCCATTCCTGTACGGCCATATTGGCATGAAGCTGAAGCTAGTGGGTGGAAACTCGGCAGGTACCGTCACGTCATACTATGTAAGTACAGAAGCCAAAACAGCGATTACAAAAGAAGAAGAAAAAAACAAATAACTGAATTTAACAAGAACTAGCTGCATTTGGCGATCACAATGTTTGTTGGAAATATCAGGATTTGAGTCTAAGTTGTGTATACCGTGAGAATTGTTCCCTCGTCTTGAGTATGAATATGACCATTATCATTTGTTTGATCGTGGGCCTGCAGCTTGCCTCGGTGTTCGAAAAATGGTGTGAGTTGGACTTCGAGTTTCTCGGAAACGTCAGTGGAGAACCATACATCCTTCAAACGAACGTTTTCGCTGAGGGCAAAGGTGACCGAGAGCAGCGCATCTACCTCTGGTTCGATCCCACAGAAGACTACCACTACTACGGCATTTTGTGGAACCAGAATCTGATCTTGTAAGATTGCCGGCGACGCTCTCTCTACTTCTCAGCTGTAATCCAATCGATTGCTAACGTATCAATTGCGCTCAATGAGAAACCAGAGGCGGATTCCGTGGACATCGAGCTAGATCCTGTCTTATTCTCTGAAAGATTGTTGCATCTTACTTGCCAAATGTTGAATTCCATGCCCGACTTTCATCTGCATCAAGTCACTCAAATCTTCCACGTGCTCGCGTTGCAGATTTATGGTCGATGACGTGGTCATCCGAGTGTTTCACAACAGCAAGGATCTGGGAATCCCGTACCTGGAGTACCAGCCCATGTACGTCTACTCCAGCATCTGGAACGGAGAACAATGGGCAACTCGCGGGGGAGCAGACAAGACCGACTGGTCTCTGCAGCCATTCATCGCGTCGTATAAGGACTTTGACGTGGATTCGTGCGCAGTTCACAGCGAAGGCAACGACAAGGATGACTCGCACAGATGTTACAACAAGTTGTACAGCAGCTGGTATGGAGGTGCCGATGCCGGAAAGCTGACGAACAAACAGATCGACGACTTGAAGCGCATCCAGTACAATTACGTGATCTACGACTACTGCACGGATGCTGAACGCTTCGACGAGACACCCAAGGAGTGCTCCAGGAACTGGCCTCAGACCTACCCAGCGTGAGCACACAACTGCATGATAGGAATTCGCCTTCAGTAACGTCATATCTGGTTGGAAGCATTCAGTGAACTTCTAATGTAGCTTTCTTTCAAAGGTTAGAAGCTTTCTGTAGCTACAGAAATCAGTGCAACAATCTTGTGGCATGGGTTTCAACGAAATTGAGGATGTACGGTCACTCGCTCCTTAGCAACGGACCATTTCTTTCGGCAGCCATTCGTCAACATTGCGCTCTTATCAAATAGAATGAGCCTTTAAACGCCTAGTGCTCTCCATTCTAGTTTAGTTGTTTTAGTAATCAGAACGTAGCTCTGTCACACTAGTACATTCACTCGTTTCGGAACTGCTGAGTGCAGCAGAAACGATATTTATTCTTAATAAGAGTCCACTCGGAGAAGTCTAAGACATGAAATTGACTGCCGGCACAGCCGTTTTACTTTCAGTGCATATTCGAACTTGGCTACTTGAATACTTTTTAATTTCTTTTTTATCGTGCCAGGTTTTGTACTCGAGCTTTAAGGTAGCGCACTTGCAATGTCTGAGCAGAATAGTCCAGCGGGGTGAGCGCATGAGCAAATTTGTAGTACTCAGTGGTCCAAACAGGAAGTTTATAAGGAGTGAGGCTCGATACTATTAAGGCGTGGCTGCTTTGTGTCCCACCCATATAAACTTCGCAGATGATAAGCCTTCATGTCATCTCTGAACTCAAGATCTCTGCTAAACGCTCAGTGTTGGTATGCCAGTTTTTAAATGACAATATCGCTTAATTCTAATGCTCTTAAATTCAGCTTGTCCTACATTTGTTTCAATCTGGCTGCTGGAAAGTCGTGAGGGCACGCACTGTGGTTTAATCCAATGAAGCTCTGATCGATGTCTGATATTACAATCGATAAGCTGCATGAAGGAAACGATGAGATGATTACAAAGCAATTTCCGAAACACCTTCTCCCTCAACTGCACAGCACCCTACCGAGAAAACGAAGCACAAGATTGTGACTCTATTTCCCATCTTGCTACAAAACGTACATTTCGATATGGAGCAACCCGTTCCATTTTACACTGCACATTTATATTCTGCTCTCTTAGGACATGAATGTCATGCCGTTTCTCATTTTCCGATGACAAGTATGATGTTGAGACCTGCGCACAGCCTGATAAGGATACTTTCGGCTGTATGTGAGAACGGTTTGTAAAGTGCTGCTCCAGTATTCCCATTCCTTTCCTCGATCGGGGCTCACCCCGACTTACGCTGCGTGAAGAAGTGTGTAGACAGCAGATTTTAGAATCTGAGAAGTTCAGAAGAAGGAATATCCTCGAAGCTCTGCGGACATTGATTTGCAGCAAGGAATTATTTGGTTCTCAAATATACTATTTTTAGTGATCGACAAATTTTCCATACATCTGAATCATGAAACGAAAATGGAAATTTCCACGTTGAGTCACGCAATATCGACAGATACAATGAGATTCCCACCTTCCCCACACTAATCTCCTGTGATAAAACAGCAATTTCCGTCTGCCATGTACAGATTCATCCGGCTGGGATTTGTATCAACCATATTGCTTTATTCATCCGGCTTTATTTAACTGACAAGCCTAGAGCTTGAAAAGAAAACAAATACGCTGATACGAAGTTTCAAACTCCCTTCCTACAAGCATTATTTGGTTGCAATAGCTATGCACTTACTTGAAGGAATGTGAAGGATAGCATGCAAATTGTCAAAACTGTGACTCCATGACCGTACATAATCCATCTCTGACCCTCTCAATTTATTTGATCGGTGACAACTCTCATAATTGCCAATTAATTACTTGGATACCTGGAAGAGCCGGAAACTCTTGGGGTCTGCAAGAATCTATCATTTTTCATTCACTTTGAGCGCTTACTGAATAAAGAATCAGGAGGTAGGAAGGATCAGATTTTGAACTCAGGTCAGACGGACAAAGAGGACGTACTGTTCCAATCATAGCTCGTGCTAGATGACGGGCCGACATATGTGTTTATATATGCTGGCATTCAACTATTCGTGCCTTAATTCGTAGCAAGCCACAAGCGATGGAGAAACCCTCAAGGGGTACAAGGATGAAAGGAAACGGCTAACCACTCGCTAGCCCAGAGAAGCACATTCTTCAACAGTTGAACCCAACTTGTTGGTGTATACACACATTGTGGTCACCTCGCATATGCTTGATGACATTCATATGTCTGATCGATGCATGTGTACGGCAAGCACTCCAGAACCATACTTCTCACCTGGCAACGCACGACTTACACAACAGAAAGCGGCGTGGATCGAGGGCAAGTATGTATGGTCAAACATGCTTCATCCCATATAGAAGAACTCCAGAAGCAACGAAGACATCACTTGAGCCATTCTGATCCTTGACCAGTGTGAAAGAGGGAAGAGAAGGCTGTTACAGGATTGCACTTTTCTTTCGTTCAATTTTTTGAAGCGATTTTTTTCGCTGAGCGTCCTCCGGACATAGCAAGCAAGTCAAGAGAGCTGAAGTGAAGGTGATGGGGAGGATGAAGATTAAATTGGTGCTTTTGCTATGCACTACTTTATTCATCTCCATGGCCCAAGCCTCGAAATTTTGGGATGACTTCTACGTCAATTTTGGTGACTGGAATGTCAACTACCGCAACGATAATGCTGACAGTGGGAACATCGTGGTTAACCTTGGTCTTGACAACACTAGTGGTAATCTCCACCCTTACAATTGCATTGCTCCTGGAAACTGGAAGCAACTCCTGAACTTGGATACAAAATCGATTCAGGATGTTACATTCTTTCTGTTGAAACTCTCGAACTAATTCGCTGCCTTCATGGTGCTTGACAGGATCTGGGTTTAGATCCAAATACCCGTTTCTTTACGGTCATATTGGCATGAAATTGAAACTCGTCGGTGGCAATTCGGCTGGTACGGTCACTTCATACTACGTAGGTACATACGTCCAGATTGAAATCGGCCTCTCTAAAAAGACAGAATTCATTATCATTGGCAGAAAGGTGTTTGTGTCAAAAGCAATTACAGGTTGTTCTCGTCTTGTTTTAAAAGTTTTGAGATATCTTGATCGTCTTCTCCACTCGGAGCATAACACGTCACATCACCACATTGTCCGGTGCGGGCTTGCAGCTTGCCTCGGTGTTTGAGAAATGGTGTGAGTTGGACTTCGAGTTTCTCGGAAACGTCAGTGGAGAACCGTACATCCTTCAAACGAATGTTTTCGCCGAGGGCAAAGGTGACCGAGAGCAGCGCATCTACCTCTGGTTCGATCCCACCGAGGACTATCACTACTACGGCATTTTGTGGAACCAGAATCTGATCCTGTAAGATTGCCAGAGACCCTTTCTCCAGTTCCCTGGAGTATTCTAATACGATTGTCGACTGCGCTCCATGGGATACCAGAGGCGGATTTTGTGGACACAGAGCTCGATCCTGTCTTATTCTCTGAACGATTGTTGCATCTCACATACCAAATGTAGAATTCTAAGCTCGAATTTCATCTGCAACAAGTCACTCAAATCTTCCACGTGCTCGCGTTGCAGATTTATGGTCGATGACGTGGTCATCCGAGTGTTTCACAACAGCAAGGATCTGGGAATCCCGTACCTGGAGTACCAGCCCATGTACGTCTACTCCAGCATCTGGAACGGAGAACAATGGGCAACTCGCGGGGGAGCAGACAAGACCGACTGGTCTCTGCAGCCATTCATCGCGTCCTACAAGGACTTTGACGTGGAGTCGTGCGCAGTTCACAGCGAAGGCAACGACAAGGATGACTCGCACAGATGTTACAACAAGTTATACAGCAGCTGGTATGGAGGTGCCGATGCCGGGAAGCTGACGAACAAACAGATCGACGACTTGAAGCGGATCCAATACAATTACGTGATCTACGACTACTGCACGGATGCTGAACGCTTCGACGAGACATCCAAGGAGTGCTCCAGGAACTGGCCCCAGAGCTACCCAGCTTGAGCACACAACTCCAGTATAACTTTCAGGATGCATCAAATCGCGCCGCAGCTGGTATGAAGCTGCCGATGCCGGAAAACATAGCTAGCAGCAGATTTACGATTTGTCGTGCAATTGGTACAACCATGTCATCTGCGATTAGTGCACGGATAATGAACGTTTTTGATGAAGCACTCGAAGAATGTTCGGGGAACTGGCCTCAGAGCGAGCCGTGCCGAGCGCATGCTTAGAACAGTCCTTCTGAGACAACCCGAGGGCCTTTAAATTTCTCCTTGCCATTACGGCGCATTCCATTCACCTTTGAAATCGACGAAGCAAGCCAAAGAATCCATTGATGGTCACTGAAGCATCTCGGTGATAGTTCGTAGGTCCTGTGGGGCCACTCTGATTCCGAAAAGGGGAACATTTTGTCTGGGAAGCGAGTCAATAGTATTTGAACCGCTGGTAAAGTAGTTGGACCGTATGTACGCTGAATGGTCCAAGTTGAACACGTCTCTTCCATTCTTTCTTTATGGATACGCAGTGTTTAGGGGGTACAATTTTTCTTGAATAAACGCCACTTATAGATATCTGGAACACAAGGCCTCTCTACGCGTAGATGCTCTCGTTTTCGGTGCAATCTGCTTGTTTACTTTCAGGATTGGATTTTCTTCTCATCAGGACTTTGCACAAGGTGTTGAATCCTTGAGCGGATAAGGACTCCAATAGGTTCAACAGAAGAAGACAAGAATGAGTATCGTAACGTAGATTATAGCATAACTTAATTCTATGAGCACTTCTGGTGGACAGGAGGCATCATCCACTGCTCTTCTATAAATTCTGTACGCAAAGATTAGTGCAGAAACAACTATTTGCACTTCCTATTTGTGCATCGGATATCTGCTTCTTGTCTTAAGTAGCCATTGTAAGCGTCGATAATATTGGGAACACCGAACCTCCAGTTTGCATGTCAACTGACTTCAGTCATACTTTAGACTCTGACCATCCTTGCAGAAAAATTGTTGAACTCTAGCGCGTTATCTGTTCAAAGTTCCAGATAAATCTCGGATCGAAATCAGGTCTAACGTGCTGAAAGAGTCGTCGACCTCAAGGGCTAACCCTGACGTGAAGCAAACCCAAACAGATACCCGAGGAGATGAAGGCAATTGATGCTCCTCTCATCGAGAGTGATTGAAAATCATAAACCTTGCCAGAAATGGAGCGATTGGGGGATACTGAAGGTACTTTAGGATCACCAATTTTTCAACTGTACACTCTCTGTAGCCGATTGATTATGCAAATTTTAAGGAAGGCTGCTGAAGTTATGTCCGATCGAATCTGATGGACCGAATAAAGTAATAATACCACACTGTAATAACTACAGCTCTAAGGATTGCGTCGGTAGTCTTTGTTCCTCCTTCAATGAATGTTCACACAGAGACAGAGAAGATGCGGGTCTTGAACTCAGGACTCGAGATATTTAATGTCCTGAGTTCTTGGCATGTCCGTGATTGTTCGAAGCATTAAAGCTGTCAGGCTCTACCTGGTGATAGTAGTTACTTGAATTTAGAAAATTCGTGTCCATTTAGCGGACGACAAGATGTGCAATCCACAATGATGATTCTTTATGTAAGGATGAGCTAATAAGCTCTTCGGCATCATCCAGTCAAAAGCGTAACATTGGACTACCACAGCTCGTGAGAACCGAAGATATCGTCCATGGGCTGTGAGAGATGATTGATGTCTCCATTCAAGGCCTGGATAAAATGCACGCAATCACAGTATGAAACGTTTTCGATCACAGAATGAAGTTTACAGTTTCCTGAGAGGTTGGTCTAATTCTCTCAGTTTCGATTTTAGTTTCGCGCATAGTTCGCGTTTCGTGCGCGCGGATGGTTTCAATTTATCTGTCTCGCCCTCGAAAATGAGAAATCACAGACATCTGCATGCACGAAAGCAGGTGAAACAGTACCCATATTCTGCGCACCTATCCGGTCGTACTGTGTTGGCTTTCTCGGATGTGCGCTGACTAAAGAAGAGAGCTGTCAGCAGACTCTTCATCTCTGAGGAACTTCGTGCCTTGAAACCAAATAAGATCTTAGTTCCGAAGCGAATGTGAATATGAATATGTTGCATGAGCCTCTGGTATTCTCCGAGGAATTCTAGCTGTAAACCAGCTTTGGGATTTCTTACCAGCTCGAATATCTGTGAAATCCTCTTAGATTTGAATTTAGTGAAGAGCCCAAATATCGCAGTGGATTGCCACCATCTTTAACTTGCGACGGTGATTACAATCTCTCTGTATTTTAAAAGTACTTATCCGTTTGAATCTTTGCTCAACTTTGATCATTACTTTACAGTTTATGATTCCAGAACTGAAAGAATCCCTCGGGAATCAATCCAACCCAATGAATTCATATCCTTGAATCGGCCTTGGAAGAGGCGGCTTACGCCAAGCACAGCCCTACTGTGTGTAGTCTCTAATCGACAGAAGTGTGGCATTCGCGATGCCAAGAGAAGCATGGTTTTCGAAACCGGCAAAATGCTGTTCTCTGGAGAAAACACCCTTCTGGTGTCAACTATCGACAGTTTGGTCCTTACGATGAGCAAGAGACTACAAGGAATCAAAGCAACTCCATAGGCTCCCGTCGGCCAGGTTGAATATAACTGGCAGACGCCTGAGGTTGCCTGAATCTATTTTGAAGATTAAAACTTGAGCTCGTCATGCTACACTCGCAGGTGTGTTTAGAACAACAAGCAGCTTACGCTTTAATAGCTACCGTTTTCCTGGCTCTAGTCTTTGCTGGGTTTCAAGGAACTCTCTCTCTCTCTCGGTGTGAACGACACACTTACCAACTGAGCTAACCTGGAAAACTTGCACTTTTTCATTTTGACACTAGAAGTGCCAAGATTCATAAAACAATTAATGGCCCTAAATCCATAAACCGTCTACCACCCCCGTTTTATTACGTCTTGCGTCGACGCGGAGCGGATTTGTCACTATTTGATGTTTTATGGGGAGTCAATGTATATGCATATATATCTAAGGTCGGGGTAGTATGAAGACTTTAGTGATCGTGGAGGTTTTCCCCTCAGCACCATTCGTCAAACTTAGATCTCCATTGTTAGTAGGATATTTGGAAATATAGTATCGAAGTATTTGGGTGTCTTGACTTTTGCTGAGCACTATCAAGCAAAAAGGGCTTGTTTTGTCCCCATGAATCCTCCAGGGATCCATTTGCGGGCATGCCAGTGGTTTAGAGCTTACTTTGCTGGTCCTTTTTTCTAGAAATGGCTGAGAATTAAGGATGGTCCGTATACTTCTTTACATAGCTTTACGAACTTGTTGTATGAATTCGCTCATGGGTCACAAGGGGTTTTGGAAGACCAACTCTCCTCGCCGGGGTATTCCTGTAAGTCCCGCTCTTTAGTTTCGAACTCCAGGCTCACACCCCCAACTCCATCCCTTCCATCATATTCTGATTGAAGATCATCGTCTTCTTCTGCATCTTACTAGTGATTTTGCAAATTTACAATTTATCATTAGAGGAAGGCCATAATATGAGCGAAGCAACGATAAATAAAAATTTATCGTCGTATCTACGCATTCAGTATCACTCGGACTCTTGTTATGCCCTTTTCTAATTTACGTCGACATGTTCAACGACTTCACCATAAAAAACGGATGGAAGAGTTGGTATTGAAAGCAAGTTAGATATGTATATAAATAATATATAGATATTGTATTTAGGGTTTGCCCTTTACCTATAGATGTATAATAAATTATACACTCTATACATGTATAATTTATATAATGAAATGCATTATAAATGTATACTTCCGAACAGGGAAGGTTGGTTTTCCTAGGTTGATATAACTCATGAGTGCTCTCATGGAGAAAAAAGCCAAAAATAAACTCCCTGAAAGAAAGTAAACTTGGCCTCAATCGTCACTTTTCGGGATATATGATAATTATTAAACTGGTTTAGAATCATTGCTTCTATCGCTTATTTGATCCCTTACGGGTATCACACGCATGACGTAGGGCATGATCCATTTCAGCCGCATACTTTGTTTGCTCTTCCCTGTCAACCCAGTGCAGCAATAAACCGCAAAGTCTTCGCAGTTATTTTTCTCCAGGTCGAATTCTCCAAGGTTGTTTTTTTCGAGGCCGTCATGAGCTCTTGCCAAAATTTCCTCTGGATTAGAACTCTTTTCTAACTCTGTAGTGGTACCTGCAAGCCGGTACAATCCGGGAATCTATCGTCAAACACTATGACAAACTTCTCAAAGCAGCAAAAACCGAGACATCTGGTAACTCAAGAGCGATAGGTCCAACAGTCTCGTATCTTTACTTCGATTGGATCACAAAAAGGTTGACATGGTCATTTAGCATGAACTGACCTCCATCTATAAGCTTCCACCAGCTATAATTCTCATTGCCATAGCGGTACTTGTATAGTTTGCTCCCCATCTTGAAACATTCGATGCATGTCCTAAAAATGCCACATTCCCGATCACCAGAATATCTAGGGCATCCTCCATTTGTATGACGACAGCGGTGCCTACTTCTTCGATACACATTATGGATAATATATTTTATATCGGCGTCGACGATGCCTACAAGAACACACACAAGCAAAGCTTAGGTCCCGCTCGGCTGAAGCCACTAAACGTGGAAGAGAAACGCTGAGGTCTTCGAGCATTCAAACCTCCCATGATTGCAGCATAGGAGGTCAGATAGCTGTCCTCAACTTTGCAAGAGTCCTTGGGTTGAACCTTGAAGGTCGGGTCTAAACCTTCCCACCCTCTCCCACGTTGGCCTCGAAGGAGCAGCATTGAGGTTAGAAAGCTCTGAAGTCAGCCCAAACTTTGCACCCAACTTCAACAAGACATTCCCACGGAGGCGTCCAAGAAGCGACGAACACAGTACAAACAACACCGAAATAATCAGAAGCACATCCCCTGATCCTCATGCTATTGTTCAGAAGTTCCCTTCACGAAAGAACGAGGAACATTCAACT